ATTGAAGCATTTTTTTGAAAAGGCATTTTGATACTCCTGTCCATCTAGGTTCAATATTATGCATGTACGAAACGTTTTAAAAAATGACAATTACAAAACGTAATGATAATATCAGAGACATAATCATATATGTTCTGTATAAATACACATTTCCAAAACACAGTTCCTTTGGAAATTTATTTTACAGTTAATGTTGTGCATTCTCATAAATTCGTATAAGGCATTGTAAAAATATTATTATTTGCTTGTGAGGATTCGCTGAAAACCAATAACCATAGGTTTACAAAGACACAGCATAAAAAGTTGCATTCGTTTTATAGAACTCATCAATTTTTATGCGACACAGTCGCAAATTAACATTGTGAGCACGAAAACACAAGTAGACCGGTTTGAATCCCAATATAAAAATTTGACATAAGGGGATTCCCCAAAGAATCAATAACCATAAGTTTACAACAACACAGCATAAGAACTATGCAATTCGAGAGTCCTGCTGCACCCTAACATTTCTGTAACGTTTCGTCTGATCAAAATCAGACTTTCTCAGACAAGCAGTTTACAACAAAGTACAGCATAAGAAGTTGCATTTATTTTATTAAAGCTAGCAAACGCATTCATTTTTATGCGATGAAGTCAAAAATTAACATCATGACACAAAAACACAAATAAATCGGTTATTTCTCACTGAGAAATTTACAAGGAAAAGTCAAGAAAATTAAATAAATACAGTATGTGTACATAATATAGTGAACATCATCATCAATAACCCATCCATGACCAATAGGTGGGGGAGTAATTGGCTTTGGTTATCGGCAACATAGATGAATTCCTGCCTGGTAATTTGCCCTCAGAACATGCTTCTTCAAGGAATCATTGTTGGGTGGAAGAGAATAATCCATATGTTTGTCAGGTTTGAAAACACGTGACCTGGTATCATTTACATTCTCCGTCTCCTATTCATACAATGAACAAACAAATTCCTCATCTTCATTTATTAATGCCTCGTTAACCTCGAAGATTTTCATGGTTGGGATAAATCTCTATGAACTTCGAGTCCTCCAACATCAGTTTGATGGGCAGTTTTAAGTGCAGAAGAATGCCAAAGTATTTCAATATGAATACCCCATCTAAGCTGTTTGCAACAGTACTAGGATTCTCATAGGCCGTTACGCTTTTCTTCAAGACTTCTTCTTTGATCCATTTCATTCTTACAGGTATAGCGTTGAAAGCAGAAGCGATGATAGCCTGCGTTGGGTTGAATTGGTGGAACATTGACGTTTTCTTTTGTAGTACAGTATCTAAGATGAAAAACAAAATCATATTTGGAACAAAATGAGTGTTTTTTAACAAATAAAAATACCACTAAATACTGACTAATACTTCTCATACATAATGCATTTTATCCGAAGTACTGCGGTTCTACACTGAATCTCGGTAAATCACACAGTCTGAAATGCCCTGTATATTTAAAACATGGGTCACCAAACTTTTTCAACCTCGGGCCAGGTATGACTCAAATGTGTTGAAAACGGGCCAGACAAATATTTTAGTCAATGCAATACAATAAATTCACAAAAATTGGGGAATTCATTCAACAATATAAATTCTACATTTTTTAAGACTTGAATATTAAATTCTATATCGCAGAATATATATGGAGAACAAGAGGGCAAAACAAATATACAAGATTTCTAGACAACTATCTTAGGGTTAGTTGTTTGCAAAACATTGCTGTCATGAATATCCGCATGTAAGCAGCACAAAAGTTAATGTGAAATAGGAGCAGTACGCGAGAGATTACAGTACTATTAGCGCAAACTGCACGTTCAACGTTCATTTTAGCACAAGAAACGCCGAAAGCAAGTGCCGCGAGTGCATCCTTCGCAGAAAACGTTGCGTGATCGTAGCGTACCGGTAGAGAATTTTAGCCTGTTTTATCACAGCTATTTCTAGACTAAATTTTGATTACTGTAATTAAACTACACTTTCTAACAAGGCAAAATGATGATTGAATTATATGATGCATACTAAAATTTCGATATTTTTTCGTGGAATTGCGGGCCAGATGAAAGAACGCCACGGGCCGGATCTGGCTTGCGAACCGTAGTTTGGTGATCCCTGTTTTAAAACATCAACTGTCAGCCTACAACTTGATACGTGATTTCTCCCCTCTCGTTGTTGACCAGGTTCTTGTCTACTTTATGAATTCAGACTAAATGACCTCAGTAAAATTGATTACTTTCCTCTCTTTCTCACAAACGTGCATTACACAAACGGTCATTATTGGATACGTCAATGGACATAACTATCGTTTTGCACTTTATGCTGGCACTCGTCTTCTTCTTGTTGTTCTTTGACACGTATTTAAAAAATCGCTTTTCTCTTTGATTACTGGACCAATTGCTCTGAAATTTTCAGTGGTTAAAGATGAACATTTTCTTGAGAAGGCTGTTACTTTCATTTATTTCAGATGTGTTTATATATTTAGGCATAGCTCTCTTGTTTTCTGAATCAAATATACCGTAGCGGCGAGCCTATATAGCGGTATAAATCTGCTGCATATTCAAGAATCGTCATTAAATTATTCATAAAACTTCTATACAAGTATGAAAATACCGCATCGTTGTTTGGGGCATATCTTACTTGGTCTAGCTAGCCTATCTTGAAGTTACCGCACCATACCTATATAACAACGTTATATGAGCTAGTGCTCAACTAAAATTGCTATCCATGGTAAAAATCTGCAGGTCTTTAATAGCTTACTTAAACTTTTTAACACCGTCTTGGCATTACTCAAACTTTTTAACACCGTCTTAGCATTACTTAACTGATAACTAATAATAACTGAAAAAGCTCAGCGCAAGAGCAAGAAATACAAACTGAGATTTATCCGACCGCCTACAGTTGCTAAAATTTTTATTGTTACGTCATGCAGAAGTCTGCGTTCATTGGCCAATGTTGCCGAAAAAGCAGATAATATAGGACAGATAGTGGCACATATTTCATGTAGTAAGAGCGTTTTTTTCGTAAAACGTGCAACTTTTGGAAATGGAAACAAGGTATTATTTATTACTAAATTTCCAAGTAGTTCCCTTACGTGCACTACGAAACTGAAAGATAAACGATTTCGTCTCGCGGCCTACATTTAGTCCAACATTGTGACTATTGATTACCCTATAACTAGAACGCAATATTTTATGTTTTGATAACATTATTCACGGACTTTGTTCTCTGATTTATAATTATTATTTCTGCAAACTGGCTTTCTTCATGTTATTGAAATACTTGAAACAAGATTCTAACTGCATTGAATTGTGATTGAAGTAGCCTATCATATCAGTCTGCGAGCATTTCACCAACAGATTAAGAAAGCGAATTGAATGCCTGTCGCCACACCACCCAGATACGTAATTGTAACTAATATTAAACTTGCTACACTTTGTTTTCCAGTATGAATTCCTTTTTAGTCTATAAGCCTAACATACAGGTAGTCAAACTGTTGAACAGGGGTTTCTCGGGGTTATGTAGCGTTGCCAAACGTCCTTTATTTCTAATGACATTTCCTCAATTGAGCGAAATAGTCGTAGATACTACAGGATTACTGCATACCAAAGCGTGGACAAATGCACAATAACATTATTGAACTGATACATTAAGCCAATTAATCACTGTGGTGTAATGTCTTGAAGTGTCCCCGGTATAAATTAAAAAATTATTAATATGCACGGGGTTATATTGCAATTACCATTCTACTTTTAACAAATTGCATTTCCATGGCCGTTTGTTATAAGGTTATTGTACATATCGTCGTAGTGCCATATCTTCTGTCCTGTGTATTGTACTGGAGTCTTATTGTATAAGCATAGCCAATTTCATGTATATATATATCAGATTCAGATATTTATTTTCATCATGCAAAACCAATATACGATATGAAAAAATAAAAAAGGCATGTAACAAATTTCAATGACGGATATCGGCTTGTTGCAATAGACGAGGGGTCGCGAAAGACCCAAAGAGTCATTCAGTCAACGACACCTTGTAGCTGCACCGAAGCAGCAAATATAGCAACTGAATAACTCAATATTAAATATTTACTATATCCGACACAATCATATATATAAAGAAGAACAACAAAAAGAGTGCCAAAGAGCTGCTAATGCCCCAATGACTACGAAAAATTACCTAACATTCACTTAATCAGACCCAATCATGATATAGATCCTAATACAAGGCAGCATTCCTAAACTACTGTTATATATACTGTTAGGGGTACATTTCGCACATCTGTGTCTTAAGACAGTAAGGTCTTAAACATGTATCCCGTCTCTTAAGGCAAATAAACATACATACAGGCAGTGATGAGCTGGAAAAATCGTCACTGATGTGCTAATTATTTGCGTGATGTAATGTAAAAATAATTACCAATTATGGGGCAACAAAACATAAATTAATACTGTAACTAGGTTTACCAGAGAAACTAGACTTTTTGAACCACAATTTTATATTAACAACAGGATCGCAAATGCACAAAAATGTCTAACAACCGGAACACCGTTCCGGTGCGTTCCGGCTATACAGCTTACCACTGCATATAGGGTAAATTTTAACTTGTATCAAGATATATGCGAATATACATCGGAAACTACATTTTTTTTTTCGATCAACTTACCGTAGTTCATTGAAAACTAAAAGCCGCCCAATGCAACAGTTAATTATGATTCTATTGATGTTCTTTTTCGAAATTTTATTGATAATATTTGAGAGTGATGGAAAGTTTTATTTTTTAAACTTAGAGATGTTTCACAGTGTCCGTTATTGTGAATTTGTCAAAATTGACAAGAGATAAGCCTCTGGAACGTTACATTGGGGTTCCGCTTTATCAGAAAGGTTGGAAATCTCGAAGTTACTTGATGATTGATGTTTCTTGACTCTTTCTACCATTCCCAAAATTGTTTATACCTATTTCGAGAATGTCCCTATCCGTTACGAATTCACAATCAATCATGCATGACGTGATTAAGCAGTATTTAGGAATGCTAACTCACATCTGATGCTAAATTCTATTTTCAATGATTAGGTGGTTCTTTGATGCCCTTTGGTACAGAATAACAATAATTGGACTAGAAGCGGAGGAGTCTTAACGCAGATTATGGTGAGTTATATTAGGAAATTACATTATTGTAAATAGGGTATCAACATCCTACTAGATGTAACGGTACCGTACTGGTCTGACTGGTAGACTACAGGTACCGTACGGTACCTGTACCCACAGACATGGATTAGTGGGGTCTACAATACACAGATAGCCTACACTACAGCCATACCATACGGTACAGTTTATTTCGGCATTGTGAAACCACAACACGTGATGAAACTAACAAATCTCATACCGGTAATAAGAAATGCCTGGGAAACAAGCAAAATGCTGTAATGATTTAGAATGAAGTTTAAAACATGCACTTGAAAAAATTGAACGCAACCTGATTACAGAGTGAAACGCCTGAGTAATGGCCGTCGTCAATATTAATGTTTATTCGTTTGTGACTTTTTTTCTTTGGTGAGTGACCGCGTTAATACGTTTTGAACTTATTTTATCAGGTTTTGGAGTCCTAGTGCTTACCGGTGCCACTTCTTGGCAGCTCCTGCCGGGAGCGAACCGCGTCGTCTCTTGCCATGGTTCATGGCGCTATTAATGGTATATTCACAAAGTTATGTACCGGATTTTAGTTTATTATGCGGAATTATATCTAGACTACTCGAACCTGAAATCTAATCCAAATTCCATCAAAACTGTAGACCTACCGGTATCTATAAAAAAATGTTCCAACTTAACCAATATTTGTCACCATCAGGGGCAGCCCAGTCTTTACGGCCGATCTGCTGTGGTTACGGCAGCAAAATTTTACCCGCCATTGGTTTTCAATTTGCTGCCGCAGTAACGGCAGCCTGTCATTGGTTTGTGGAAGCTAAAAAGTCAGTCATCATGAGTTTGGCCATAGCGGCCATGGTTTGGAAATACCACCATGGTTTTGCGGCAGCTTCAGACGCCACAAAATACTTGAAACTGCATTTGAGATTTTGTTCACATCCCAGATTCTTTGCCTTAATTTTTTGTGTATGTTTATTTTGCGAATGAATCTGAATAAAATAAAAATAATTCTATTTGCCGGGGAAAAAATTTACCATAGCATTCGAGAGTTTTTAGCAAGAAAACCTGGGCGGGGGAAATTTTTATCCCATGAGGACCAACACACGTCACTATTAATTGAAATATTTTAGGACACATTCAAATCGAAGAATTACTGTTATAAGTCCACACATGTAACAACATATTTGTGTTTGACAATAACATGAAAACCTAATCTGCTATGACATTTAAAAGGGCCAAAATCAAAGTGGAGGCCGTGGGCCTGGTGGAAATAAAAAAGATGACAAAGGGAAAGAAAAAAAGAAATATGAACCACCACTGCCGACAAGAGTTGGCAAGAAACGAAAACGGCATAGAGGTCCAGATTCAGCCAACAAACTTCCCAGTGGTGAGAAAACTATCTAAATATTTTACGTCGATTACAGACATGCAAGTAGGATATTGCTCAAGTAGCAGATTAGAGATATCTGATTCAAGCCAAAATTTGTCTATTCTTGGGACCAGTGAACAACCAGTGCAGATTGGCTGGGGCTAATTGTTTGTGGGGCAAAAAGTATATAAATCAAACAACCAATCATGCCTACAGAGCGGTCGTGTTCTCGCTTAGGTAATTTCTTTTTTCCAATTGGTTGCTTCTTTAACATTTTCCTCCGAGCAAATGTGCAGAACATATCATAAAAAAAAAAATATTCTGATTTGTTTTTTGTTAAAATTATTGCTATGATATTTTTTAAGTTTATTTAAATTTTTGTCTGTTATTCTCAGTCACTCCTCATACGAGATGTAGATTACGATTACTTAAACAGGAACGAATAAAGGACTATCTATTGATGGAAGAAGAATATATTAGAAATCAGGAGAGACTAAAACCACAAGAAGAAAAACAAGAAGTAATTCATCTAATATAACAATTCAGTGAACACAAATAAGCCTATCAAAATCTTATGTAGGGTGCATTTTTTCGTTGGCACAAAATGTCCTAATATATTGGAAAGATAGGAAAATATTAGTTTGGTCCGAATTTCGTTTTGAAAGTGGTTGTCGTGACGTTTCTGATTTTACTCTATGGTATAGTTCTTCAAAACACAAGTAGGAATTATCTTTGAAAATGAATAGCAGGATTTTAAAATTCTTGGAATAAAAAAAAATTATGCAATGGACAATGGTAAAGATTAATTACGTCATTCCACAAATTTCATACTTATTAAATATATCATTCACAATTTTTAATATTTTGCTTTGCTGTAAAATTTTAGGAAGAACGGTCTAAAGTCGATGATTTGAGAGGATCACCGATGTCCGTTGGAAGCTTGGAAGAAATTATTGATGAAAACCATGCGATTGTTTCCACATCTGTTGGTTCTGAACATTATGTCAGCATTTTATCTTTTGTTGACAAGGATCAACTTGAACCTGGTTGTACCGTCTTAATGAATCACAAAGTATGTTATGTCATATGTGTAATGAAAAGCGGAGATTATTTGTATTGTTCATCCTTTATTTTTATTTATTTATTTCTTGTGGATCATAGGTAAACCTTGTTCATATTTGCTGTAATATTTTGTGATGGTGTTTTTTGGAAAAATTCAAGTTGAATAAAAGATATCAGAACAGACTGCTAATGTATATTGACTAAGATTTGATAATCATAATAAATAATATTTGAACAAATGTATACTTGAATATTCCTTAAATTTTTGCTCTGCCTATTTTTATTATCAGTAGCTATATTGGAAAACGAACATGAATACACTCAAGATTAGCTTCCTGCTTCTACTTTTTTGTGTTGTAAATTACCATCTCATGACAAGAAAATATATTTTAGGTTCACGCAGTTGTTGGGTTTTTGAATGATGACACAGATCCACTTGTAACTGTGATGAAATTAGAAAAGGCTCCACAAGAATCATATGCCGATATTGGTGGATTAGAATTGCAAATCACAGAAATTAAGGTATTATTGTAAGTGGTATTTGAATAGCTGTATTTGAAATTGGTGAAATTTTATCAGCTGTGTCCCAGTGTGATATTTCAAATTTCTGGCTTTTGGCATCACATTGACCTTGTTTCAATTGGTATATATACTAAATCAGAATATTACAATTTTACAAATTGCTTAGTTAATATCTCGAGAAATAAGAATGTTTCTTATCAACTGATATTTATAATAAAACATTAGATATCTTATTTTGTTTATACTAATTTTTTTCATCATTGACACAAAGTTTATACTATTTTCTAATGGGCTATTCACAGGTAAGTTTATGCTTACCATTTAAGTTATTAAATGATGCTGTAAATGCCCTACTGATTTCGATGGCTCTGAATTGATGCACAAGTATAATTAATTTACTTGTTTTTGTATTTACAGGAATCAGTTGAACTTCCATTGACTCATCCTGAATATTATGAAGAGATGGGAATAAAACCACCTAAGGGTGTCATTTTGTATGGTCAACCAGGGACAGGTAGTCAAGTGGAAAAATTACATAGTCTAGTCTATACTATTGTTATGATCCTCGAAACAACTCTTAAACACATATTATGAATATGTGTAATCCATAGTTCATTATTATCTTATAGTACATGTATTTGGAGGAATGAATTGAGATAGTGGCATAATCCAACTTATATCAAGTAATTTCACTGGTAATCATTAAAAAGGCTCAATATAATTGAACCCTTATATACTGCAAAATTAGATCTATTTTCTATATTTTTTCGAAAAGTATTGACACAATATAGAGTGGCTGCATTGTAAACCATAGTAGGAGCGTCATCATATCTCTGAAACTTTCTGATATGCATGTCATATTATAATGTTTAAAATTGATACATCTTGGATATGCTGCCATTTGAGCACCAGTAAAATTTAGTTACCTATTTTCTTCAGGGAAGACTCTTCTTGCAAAAGCTGTGGCCAATCAAACTTCTGCAACTTTCCTCAGAGTTGTAGGTTCAGAATTGATTCAGAAATATCTTGGAGATGGACCCAAGCTTGTACGGGAATTGTTTCGTGTTGCAGAAGAACATGCACCTTCTATTGTATTCATTGATGAGATTGATGCAATAGGAACAAAACGGTGTGTAAATAAAGTTAATTGTATTTTTGCTAGTCATTGATTATCCAGCAATGGAGCACATGCAATTGTATATGGTCTTGTAGAAGTTAAATATCACAATGAATACCGTAGCTAAGCGTCTTAGAACTGTAACTTTATAACTGACAGGACTTAAAGGTAAATCTCAAGCTGTTTTCTATTCTAGATATGAATCCAATTCTGGTGGTGAACGTGAAATTCAGAGAACTATGTTGGAGCTTTTAAATCAACTAGATGGTTTTGATTCACGTGGTGATGTTAAAGTAATCATGGCTACAAATCGTATCGACTCCCTTGATCCGGCTTTGATTAGACCTGGTATGTAATATTTCATGTGAAATTAAATTTTTCATGTCTAAGACAAAAGGTCAAAATTAATGACTTGTCTCACATTACAGATGGCCTCTTGCAAATACACAATTCAATATGCGCTCAATTATATCATATTTTTATGCAGGTCGAATAGATAGAAAAATTGAATTCCCAATGCCGGATGAGAAAACTAAACGAAGAATATTCCAGATTCATACTGCAAGAATGACATTAAGTAATGACGTCAATATTGATGAGTATATTCAAGCTAAGGATGATCTTTCTGGAGCTGATATTAAGGTAACAATATTAATTCTAATTTTCGTAAAAATAAAATATATATAAATATAGGTAGCGATCATTTCCAATATATCCTAATTCTTCATTGGCTATTAGACTCCGGTTTACTTCATATCTTTATAACATTTAGGCTATCTGCACCGAAGCTGGCTTACTTGCCTTGAGGGAAAGACGTATGAAGGTGACAAGCGAAGATTTTAGAAAATCTAAAGAAAATGTTCTATATCGTAAGAATGAAGGAACGCCTGAGGGTTTATATCTTTAAACCACAGAATGAAAGATCTTGGGATGGATATTCAAAGATGATTTATAACATTCTTAAACATTAACTTTTTGTTACCTGTTGTCTAATAGGAAAATAAGGTTCTGAAAGTACTCTGCCTATATTCACTTTGCAAGATATAGAATGCGATTGTATGAAATTTTTTTAGTTAGTTCATGACATCGAGTTGGTTTAGGTGGATCATGTGCGAGAATTTGTTAGATTAGAACCCTGAAATTTTCAAGTATCTGGTTGGGGCTGCCCTGTGACACCCTAAATCGGTGATTCTTTAACTTCATTTTGTCGCAAACCCATGAACTTTTTTTGGTCTGTGCCGACGCCCCTTGTTAACAGTAGGGAATAGATAAAACTACAATTTGCTGTGAAGGATGCTGTTGCGTTCCTTGAACAAGAACATCAAATTGTGACGTCCTCTGACAGGACAACCATTCATGGCATCAAACCCGTTTAGGCGTTTAGTTTTGATATGTACAACAATTTATATTCGTTTTCAAACTATCCAATAAACTGTCTCTCACAATTGTTCCCAGGAGAATTATTTGTGACACCACATGTTTGCTTCGGTATTATCGAACAACAGCATAAAATGAGTTTAGGATTGCTAGAACTGTCATGCGAGATCTGAATGGAAGTTTTTTTAAATTTTTTGCTCGTCTTGAAAACCTAATTCTCAAAACTTTTACTAGTCCTACACGAAGCCTTTTAAAACTACTACTAGGACCCCTCTGGTGTCCGCGAGACCAGTTTCAGAACCCCCGCCCTAGATATAGGATTTATTGAGGTTTGTCTATAGAAAATTTACTCATATCGGAGGTATGTTCGTTTCTGTCCACTAGCTGATCAAGCGTTACTTTTCCCTCGCGTTGACGATACCTTAAGACAGTGGTTCTCAACCGATACTTTTCTTTAAAATAAAATCTCTCTTTCAGGCCTTCATCGTAGTTTCATTACATGAATAGGTTATTGGCGATTACAGGGTGAATTCACTTCTCATACGTAAATTGAGATGACAGAGTATGAGCAATGAATCATTACGCCCATCTAAACTCCAAAACCAAACCATTGTGACAAAACTTATCCCCAGGTAAAAGACGTTTGCATCAGTTTCCTGGCTGCCAAGCAAGTTAGATTTGACAAGAAAGCAACATTGGCCAAGTTGAGATTCTGCCTGAGGGAAAGCCCGCTCTTGAATGTAGCTATGAAGTGGCATTTCGTATTCTTACCCACTACTTAGCATAAAAGCTTCTTCACTGATAGTAGGCCTATAATTTGCCACAACCCATCTAACTTTTCTGATCTTGTTACCATCAAAACAAAATCTAAAAACCGTTTTGATGTTGACAGTGACATTCGTTTAGATGTATTAAAGACTGTGCCTCATATAAGTGCAAGATTCCCATTGATTGTATACTAGAAAGCTTGGACATTTTCCGTCCCTGGTTTGAGGTTTTATGGGTGGTGAACAGGGCGGCACGGGTGCAAAAGCCGCCAGAAGGGGGCCACGAGCCATAAAAGGTTCGGAACCACTGCCTTAAGAGGTTAAACAAGGTCCACCCCACCCTACGAGCGGGATTCGATAAACTGACTTGTCTAGAATCGAGACAAAACTTCAAATTTCCCTGTTTCTGTAATTTTGCGTTCTCGAGAAAATGCACTTTCAACACACCTGAACTAATGCTGCGGAGAGGCGAGATGGTACCTTAAAAGGATATAGGACACCATATTGTTGTACTAGCTAGCCGAAGAGACGGAGTAGGCGTATAGGATAGGATTTACATATTTATTCCGTACATGTTGCCCGCAGAAGAGTTCCGAGTGGCCCGCGCAGTATTTTTTGAAATTAAATAGACTAAACTTAACTCGACCTCGCTCACAAATTTGATTATTATATAAAAATATTATCCCTCGTCGTTTAAACGCGCGGGAGACACGACTAAATGAAACTTCTTAAGGAATCGCCTTCAATTTACTGCGGCTGTAGTGAGCACTGATATGGACGATTTGTCTATTTCAGCCTGTTGTATTCAACCCTTCTTTACAACGAGCCGTGAATTTTATATCGGGCAAAGTGTGTTTCGTGATTTTGGTTTGTTTGTTCCGGCCATCCGCATCCCAATATCGGTTCTCCTTATCACATATACCAAATCTTGCGCGCTGGTCGACCGCGCGTTTTGCTCAACAAAATCGAAAGATATTGTGCGATCATTGGTCAAGAAAAATTATAGGAATGAATTTGCAACTCAAATTTCACAATTTAATTCGTTATGATTATTATCTTTCGTGCAAGCTTTGATCATCCTCATCGCCGCGTAAAATGAAAAATGTGCAATATCTTTGCCACTGGCGTTGTTTTTTCTGTTTGTGTTTTGCTATCGTGTGTATGGTATTACTTATCGATCTTTAGATCGGTAAGTATGTTGATAGGTATTTGCCTGTTTGTCTGTCTGTTTGTCTGTTAGATGCACGCGATATCTCACGAAGGCGTGGTTGAATCTGCTCCAAATTATGTCGTATAATTAGCGAGTTATTGATTAATTAGTGATGGGACACGCGGTGTCACTATGAATATGGGTCACGCGGAGTCATGAATCGAAACCGCAGTTTCGATCGATAAGTCTTCGGTCTCCGACCGATATTATCGTTTTTGCGTTAAATAAAACTTCTGAAATTTAGTCACTGCATAAAAATGCGTGAATATCGTGTTCAGATATTCGCAATAGCTTTGTGGGTACTCCTGAAGTGTGCGTATCAAGATGACAGACATCGGAACGTAGTATGTGTACCAGGTTAGGGTTATGCCATAATTTTAGGTAGAAATACTACGGGCGTCACTTGGCTAGTCCCCGAACTCGTAATAGAATTAAAATAAAGAAAATTGGAATAATATGATGGCCTATCTTGGTTAAAATACTACGTTCCGGTGTCCGCCATCTTGGTACGCATACTTCAGGTGTACCGCTTTTGGCAATCCAAGCGTTTGATTCAGCGACGCGTAAATTCTAATCTAACGTAAATCAGAACTGGTAATATATATATAAATAGTTTGCGCCCTTCAATGTGTTTCCTCATGTAAAAGTGGCCCGCGGCACTAACAAGGTTGGACATGCCTGTGTTAGATGGTTACTCAGCTATTCGTGTGAGCTGTTGGGAGATAGAAGAAATATTAAATTACCAATGAGTCAGTCAGCCAATCGTTTATTTTCATCGCAAAAAACGTGTGCAGAAAAACTTATACATAAAGAAATATACTATAAACGTTTATTTGCGTTACAGGAGTCGCGAGGGACCTCGTGAGGTCTTCAAGCAGCGACACCTATAACGCTGTTACAGGTTTAGTGCATAAAGTAACTTTATCAATATAAACATCTGAAATGATCTACAAATAATACCTTTTAGTTTGCTCAAATCGATCTCAGAGTTTGGTGATATGAGTAAGATATAAAACCTAAACAATTGTGCTATGACTAAATGCACTATTTGTTGCAGTTTATGCATTTTATGTCTAAGCGTGACTTCCGAGAATTGATCGAGCTTGGGACAGTGACATGACGAAACCTAGCATTTTTAGCAGGACGTAAGCTACGTATATCTTAGTAGACGTACAGGTACAAGTGGCGACTGAGAACTTTCGATTTAGAAATGTAAAGTGACTTCGGTTAAAGAAGGTGCATTGGTGGAAATATTCAACGGATAATCAACGCTATTCAAAACGTTTTATTTGTTTTAAACGTTGCAGGCAGCGACTGTAAAGTGAAAATAAAGACAAATATTGGTACTTGTACTATCCAGAGGTTATCAAATTCGTGAATATACGTGAAATTTACTTTTTTTTCAACATGATTTATCCTTAATTGCTACTATCATTTATTTATACTTATTTGTTGATGTTAATTAGCATCCTTGCTTTTGTGGAAAGACCTGGTATACCGCACAACAGCATAGGCAGAAATTTCAACGCCGCCTGACATGCGTTTGTAATGCTGCATAAAATACTAAACCGTAAATGTTATGTTCATGTATGCGAGCCAACAATTCTCTAAAATTGTCTGTTGAAGGAAGGAAATCCCTTTTCGCGTTATCCGAGTTAAACCTAAAGTTTTGCTTTCATTGTTTGGGGTTCTGTATAGCGGTTTGTTATTAACGGGAAGGAAACGTTGTAAATGAAAGCGGCGGTTAAAACCGTTTTTTTGGTAATTACGCCGTAGTAACGTATGAATATATTGCAACATATATCACATAAACAAGCACACAATATGTTTTGGCAGACATAGAATTTAGTGATCTATGTACGGCGGTTTAAGATAGCGTGATCATCTTCAGTCAACAATATCAGCAGCGCATACCCAAGACTATATCAAGCAAATCTAAAATTAAGTGAAAAGTTTGGTCAGGGCAAATCAGATACTTGACGATTTTTGTATCCCCAATAGCTGAGAACGTTGAAAGTGTCACTTGGTCTTGTGATTTGTGAGACACAATATGCGTATATACCATGCATGTAATATTATTTATTACGATTCTTAAATGTTATCTTGACTCATTTTCATCTTTACAGTTATATAGCTCAAATTAAAAATAAAGTTTAAGAATGGCAGATAACGAACCATCGGACCGCAATCAACCGGAAGAAGATGAAGATGATGGAATTGATATTGAATTTCAAACTGTCCGTGCAATGAGACTGAAAATGTTCAGTGATGCAGTGTGGTCAATCGTTGCAACAATAATGGTGAAATCACTGTATTATTACTATATTTTATACTGTTTACAGGAAGTCTAATGGGCGACAGCTTTGCGCAATGTCACGACCTAACTGGTAGTTTATAGACTTACGAACTATGTCTGCCCGAAACGTCTGCCCGAGTTTTACGGAGGGAAGTGGAATATTCTTTATAAAATATAATGAAAAATAATTACAAATTTACATTCTCATATCGAGTCGACCTTATACGTAGGCTTACCATACGTTCCGGATTAGTCGGAACAGTCCTGATTTTAGCAAGTTGTTCCGCCGTCCCGACCGGTAGATCTAAATGTCTGGGTTATGCAATATCACAGTCATAATTATATTTTTTTATTTGATATTGATACAAATTTTTTAACGTTGAATCATCGAAATACCGAAAACAAAGTGCAAGTTTTTTAATGAGTTGAAGTCAGATTTTTTTATTTGAAGACCAATAGAGCTATATTTTAATAACTTTTACAGCTTATTTTGATGCCCGTATACTCTAACCACAATAATATGCTCGGTAATCGAACCAAGGTCAGCTTGCCGAATCTACACTGTCCCGTTTTTGTTTTTGCTTCCGATATATCGTAAGCCTTCTTATATGACAATTTCAACGACAATATATGGTCAGGATAAATTTATTAAGGGAAATATTTTAAATATTGATTCTAAAATATTGACTGTGCCTGAATATTTTGCATTTATCACTTTGCTGAGAATACCTCGTTCCAAAAATATTGATCTGTGTCTGTGTTTAGATTAAAGAAAATACATTTGAGTAGATTCAAATCGTTGCTAATAACGTTAATTTTTTTTCATGATACTTGATATTTGTCACTTGGCATCTGCAAAACGACAAAATGTATATTGTTTCAATAACCACAAACTCGCGCTCACTTGGCAGCCGTCATTCAAAAAAAAATTTGTGGCGACTTTGGGTTCAATTCGCATGACTAAAATCAATTCGAATAACGACTCCGAATTGACAAAATATTTCACATCGACTCCGGGACTTCAGGTTGGAGGAACTTTTGACTATGACCCCAGCTTCAAGAAAACCAGATTTTAATAGCAAAAACTTTTGCGTATTCACTTCTAGTGAATGTCCGCTAAAATGTTTAGTCAATGTGATGCTATTTGGGTTTTTGTTGGAAATTTGATAATCACCAAATAGAGTCTGAAATCTAATATTTCGACCTCAGCCCCGGTTAGTTCAAAATGACGACTTGCCCCGGCTTCAATATCAATAGAAGCATATCATACTCCGACTCCATCCACAACCATGATATATGTCAATATTTATAATCGCATCGCACGTATTCCGGGCGCCGGAACTTTTATCTTATTAATAGGAGTTTGATATTATTCGCCCTTGAAAACGATGCGATGAAACGATAGTTTCACACGCAAAGCGATATTATAAGCTCAAACTATCGACTGTATTAGAATGGAACTTTGACATGAATAAATACAAGATTCCTATGTAATACTTGGCAATAGAATCATGTTTACACATTGATAATTTAATTAGGATGTTCGGAGCGCTCTTTTCATGTGCAACGTTAAAATGAAACTGGAATTTTTTAAATGATCTTCTGTCCAATAAACTACCAATACAGTGATTGAATATTATTTTTTCATTTTTTTTATTTTGCTCGACTAATATTTTGAATACATATTTTACTTGACAGATTGTTCCCACAATGCATCTCGGCATTACCGAAGAACTCCATAAAACCACTAAAGATATGCAAGAAATAGTAAAGGAAATTATACCTCAAGTTTTTCTTTACCTTCTTGCGTTCTTGATCATATGCTCAACTTGGAATTGCCATGTATGGTAAGTTGTCTCCATTGTTTTACGCCTGTTTGTAGGTACCAATGTTGTATTACCCAGTACTCCATGTGCACCACTTGTGTTCATATAGTAACGTGAGCAACCCTAAAATGCTGTGTATACTTTTTATTTATTTATAATTTTTTCGATTATGACTTGTTGTTCAACCATCTGTGCGAAATATTATTGAGATCAACGTAACATGCGCTAGGTTTTCTTCCACAATAAATAAAATTTTCCTCGCTGACATCTTGACAATTAATAACAGGACGTTTCAAACCATGAAAAATGTCACCGATCTGAGTATTGTCTTCAATTTGGTGAGTCACGTTCATTTATTACCGGTCTTTTATTTGAAAAATTCCCAACATTTATCATCACACAAGGACGTAAATTCCCGCGAAATCACTACAACGGTTTGCACAATAGCATAATACGAGTTATATTTTCGAATTCGAACAGCGCTGCCATTTCTGTTATGGCGTACATTAAAATCATGTGGTGAATATTCGAAATAGTGCTCTTTACGCGTCACTAGAGTTGGTTGTTTCATTCCAGTTAAGGTATGTTAAAGAGGAATGCAAGACATTATTACATCATCAACGTGAGACAGATCTATGCTATGATTTATAGGGTTTATAAACGCGATCTTTGCTTTGGTTTAAATAATTACAGTAAACGTCAGCGTATTTATTTTTGATATTTCAAGCAATACTTTGACCTCCGGTCCGTAGTTTATAATAAACGAAACCTATAAATTATACTCTAACGGAAATCCCACCGACATTCATAGTATGAAAGGTATTCTAAAACTCAACGTTCACGGATGACCCATGTGACAGGAAGTCATTTGCTCTCCGGTCGGTCAAAATTGTCCCATGTTAGGCTCGATAACATAACTTCGTTGTACAATTAACGGGGAATATATTGCCAATGCGGAGCGCGCCATGACGATTTGTAACAATAGTCAATAGTTATATATTTTGTTCAGATTCTACTTCTTGCTGCAAGCTTTCTGCCGTATTTCGTGAGTTCAAGATTAATTCAATATTAAATATGAAACGCTGTGAAATAAAAATCATTTTTGTTGCTGATCAAATTACAGTTACGAAAAAACAATCAAATTCAGCACAGTTTCAAATATAGATTTCAATGTTCAAAGTTTTTCATTGAACAAGGGCTCCACCTTTTCAAATCTCTCTAAAGGGTTGACAAATTCCTGAATTTTCAAGGTAGTCAAAATATAATCGTTACCCTTCTATTATTTTTTAGTATTCTATGATGTCACGATTTCAAACTTGGCAGACGATTGTTATTTACAGTTCCATTCAAATATTTATCGGGCTAATTCAGGTATACTTGAAAATAACGGACACTGATTTTTATAATATATATAACTTATTCAATAACTATAATTTAAACTATGATTTGTTTTAGTGTGCTCTAGTGCTCCATGCGTTCTCGTATCCTGGTATACTTCGTCCAGCCATCGATGATTTGCCCCACGATGAAAAGGTTAGTTGACGTGAAGTCAGAGGATGTTATATTTGGTCATTACTACGGAATTAATGAAATTTGATATTTACTCGTCCCCCGTTTACTTGAAATTTCATATTTCTTTTAAATTTTATTTTTTATTTAATCAGGATTTATATTTTTTCAAATGATGATATTTAAAAAAATCCAATGACTCAAAACTTGGAATAATATGCAATTTATTAGGTTGTCAAATGTTAAATTTATAGCAGAAATATAAAATACCAAGGTATATAATATTCTGATCCTTTAACATGACATTTATTTCCATTAAGATGCGAATCAGAAGAAAAATATTATATAAAATCGCAGTGGCCCCAGCATATTGTGCGATTGCAATGGCATTGTCGGCTGCCTCAACAACAGCAGTGAGTTTTTTACTTTCACCTACCTAACAGATACATAGGAAGGTACATTGCAAATTCTCGCCACCTGATATTATCATAATATATATTGTCAACTCTACAAAATGTTATATCGAAAGGCATACAATCGAACGCGTCCACACCATATGCCATACAGAATCAATGATAATTATATGTCCTTGTGTTATTGTTTTATCATCTCGCTCGTTATTAATAGTTCAATCGGTGCTTATAGCATTCACTTATTTTGTGCTTTTCTCGTCTAAATTCAATTCACCCCTTTTGAATTTAAACGACTTGTTTATTATTAGGCAATCTCAAATTTGAAACTTTTATTCAATCAGTAAAATATAAATATAATTTGTTTGAAGGCCATGGTCTGTCTTGCTCTGATTCTGATCCACCCTTGGACCCAATCTCTACTCTGCGTCACAGCCACTCAAGCTTCAAGTACGTTCATCTTCTTTCGATAACAGATATTTCATTATATTTTGCGATCGTGATTATGTTACCAAAGAATAATGAAAAGTGTCATATATTTTCAAATTTGGCCTTAAAGTAGTAATAGACATATTATGTTAATAAACATGAGGCAATGAAAGTTATCATGCTGTGTTTATCAACTGGATTTGAATAGTGGTATATTTCAGTTACCCCTTTAAATCTGACTGTCAAACTTACCATGTAGTTGAAGATGTTATTTTTTCAGAATGTGCTGAGATGATGGATAGAAATGTCAGAAGACTTGAAAGGGATATTTTACTAACAGAACGAGTTAAAAAAGAACGGATAGAAGGTTATTGAAAAAAAAATTATCTGTTTTGATACCGTTGACTCTTTTTCAAAAAATAGTTTTTCCTATGTCAGTTTTGCCATCTAAGACGCCATTTTTTGAGAATGGTTTTCGAAGTCCATTACAGTTTTTCACTGTTTAACTGCTTCGACCATATGACCCAGATTTAACGCTCTTTGCTAGAAATCTTACTATAACTTAATATATTTTTAGCTTTCAGCGACGGAGTATTTGCTATTACATCAACATTACTAGTGCTTGATATCAGGTTAGAAGCATTCAATTATTTATACTATATATATGGATTCTACCACTTGTACCTATGCAAGATGAAACTTTTTCAGAAAATGATAAATTGCTTCTCATTCATTCAGTTATCTTTATTTTAAGCGAAAAGTACCTTCCAAGCAAGAAATTGATGAAAACATCGTTTGAAAATAATCCAGTTAACTATTTCGCAGTACATTGGGGCGTCTATGTATCCTACGTTCAAATGTTCATCATCATTGGTTTGTTGTGGTATACCCAACTTATGCTATTCAAAGTAAGTAACCACTTTTTAAAATTCTAACATGGGAAGAGTATATAAATACTTTCAGATAATTCAATAATACCGGAACTGCAATATCTCTATGCAAAAACTGATTTGCGCAGAAACCCTCACTCAGGACATACTCTTGCGCCCGGAGATTTTAGCATCCTAATACAGATTACACCGTATCTGAAACCATGTACATTTGCGCCAATTGAGCTTCTGTCAGCAATTAAATTATATCCAAAGAGAATATACGAATCCGCTGCGTGATGAGACTGGTTGTTTCACAGTTAACAGTGGTACGAGCTAACTTCTCTAAATGAAACCTATTCTGGCATTATTTATATCTTACAAACATATTTCTATACTTCAGAACTTTGAGAGATTTTCACGTGTAATGCTCTTCGCAAATAATTTGGTAAGCTTTTTGACTCTGATTTACGATCTGCACCAATAACTTCTTGATTTATATACATTCATTATATGTATATATCATATTTCCCTAGGCAATAGTTAATATTATACGTAGTACTATATCATCATGAATTGTAGCATCAATTTACATGCTTCCCGTATGTGACTTAAATTTTTATGTCACGGAGACGATTATTACCTCCCGAACTTATATCTCTTCACTACCTCCCTGTATATAAATTTCTGTACTCATTTTTTTTCCACAATCTTTAAACCAAATATCTAGTTTATTATTGATTATATAAGATGGATTAAAAAATATTAACTTCAAATCAAATACGTTCAGATACTAGCTTGCATTGGGATGATACCTCTGAGTTTTACATTCATACTGCATTTTAAGGTAGGTTATTTTTATCACGATTTAACTTTGAAAAAACCCTGAAGCACGTCCACAATAACATAGAATTTATCCGCTCTACTATCGAATTTAAAAATGCAACTATGCAATGATCTTAAAATGATTGAAGAAAATTACCATTGTGCTTGAGGATACAATCTATAGTCAAACATCCTGTGATATTCACCAAATCGAAATATTTGATAACTGACCGAAGTACGATAGAGTTTCCCCAAACAGTCCTTGATATCGAAATTCAGCCCAATAAATACATTTTTATTCATGTAAACTTTTAAAATAGGTTCATTTAACAAATGAAGGTAATCTTTAGAATTATCTCTTTATATTATTATTACATATTTTAATATTTTTCCTTATATAAATCAAACGGGCAGTAGTGAATTATTCGGTTAGTTACACCCTATATGCATCTTATGACGTATATATGTTTTTTAACTTCAAACCCTGTTCTATGAAACTATTAATAAATCACTGTAACTGTCTTCAACTAATGTTATAGTTTGTCTTCAACCTGTGTACACAAATCATAAACATGTATTTGTTTAATGTGCTTTTTGTAATTGTGAGGCCTAGAATTTATCTTAACAACGATATATTGGTAATATTCAAGCCCCTAAAAGATGTAGAATTCGGAAAACTGTAACATTATTATTGACCCGCACGCATTAATACTGACATTATGTTGCACAGATTCAACCAGCGATCAGAGTAGGATTGCAATTTGCTTGTATAACGATATTTCTTGTCGGATTATTCAGCATTGTGCTTTACGTATTTGGATTCATTTTTGATAGGTAAGCATTGTCGTGGAACAATAATATATCCAACTAATCCGATGCTATGTCTGAGATAAAAAGTTTGCATTTTATCTGTTGTATCGTATTACTTCTCCGGCATCCTATTAGAAGTTTTTATTTGCCTTGAATTAAAATATTTTTATCGGATTTACGTCAGATTTTGATTAGCGTGCTGGTTAGGCAATATTCGTAATAAAATACACTTATTGTGTGTTTTCATATTAAGGTGTAAGCGCAAAAAATCTGTCAATTTGTATGTTAATCAACCGAATGCCGGTAGAACACGGCCTGATGAATTAGTGGAAATAGATGAAGCGGCGCTACTGCTCGGCTCTGAACATCACGAAACAGAAGACGTGGCGGAAGGCAAACAACATCGAACAAAAGGAAAAAATGAAGAGGTTTGGATGAGTAAAACGATACAGCCAGGGGGAAAGGATTTCTGGATGATGATATATCAGATGCTTGGTATTTGTATAGGAAGGTAAATTAAACCACGAGTATTCAAACTATTCTCATAATTGTTTATTCACATTCGAACCTTGTTTCATTAATATCAAATGCATTTGCCTCTGTTGTGCATTTGTATGCTTCTCTAGAGCCGCGTTTCTCGAACTGTGTTCCACGGAACATTGCTGTTCCGCGAGCTTCTCCATCTTCAGCGTGTTCCGCGGAAGAGGGATCGAAAGTGCGATTTCGGTTGTACTTCGGCGGTTGTTGGACGTAAATTTGTCTCCCAACTTGCGACAAACAGGCGGACAGGACTTGCGATCTAAACCGGTGGATAGGCCTCGTGTCGATGTGGAAATCATGGAGTTTTCATTAACCGTCGCTCTAATATTTTAATCGCCAAGTTCACAGCAAACTTTTTATTTTTACCATAGACTAACTTTTTAAAAACTACCCAACGATTTTTTTTACCTTCTGATATCCTATTGTTCCGCTAGGCGAAGTAAAAAGCGTGGGTGTTCCGGGACAAAAAAATGAGAAACGCTGATCTAGAGCTTTGTTCAAAGTTAAGATCTGATTTGGAATCACTTAAAAAACTGAACTTCCATTTATTTAAAAAACTAGAAGTCGTTATTAGCAACATTCCCGAATACGATGTGCGATATTCTATGCGATACTTTTTTAATTTACATTTATGATAATACGTATGAGCTATTATATTTACAATGTCATTTATTGTTTTCAAATTTCCAACAGCTCGATTGTTTTTGGATTCACGTTCATGACAGATGTATTCGTTTCCATGTACGTCGGGACAGGAGTAAGTTTATTTGTTTTAGTACGGAATTGTTGATGTTACTAATTGGTTTAAGACTTAAGTCATCGGGAAACTGAAATATGACCTCACTCCGTGACTTCCCGCGGTAACCACGATCTCTTGTTGGGACGCATATATGTATTAAACAATAGCGGATTTCCATATTGCTCATTCGAGAACTGACGAAAAATAATATCTAAGAATATAACTCTGAGAAATAATAGTTGCAATAATTAGCGCTTAATTAAGAATCCATGTATGACTCTAAATGTATGGACCAGGTAACTTTTCCGATAAATATATATACATATGTCTACAAATTATTAAATTCCAGGTTCTCGGATTGTATACGTTGATCTTGGTTCTGTGGAAAAGTATAGCTGCAAATGTTGCTGACATTAGAAGTGGGTGTTTTTCAAGGCTGGGAATTTCTTGCATGCTGCTAGTTAAATTCTGGATGTTGTCAATTTCAAGATTAACTATTGTTTAAATGCTAAATTTCTTTCTTTAATATTACTACTGATTATTTACTTCAATCCGACGCAAATAAACGCAGTACCGAACCGGTCTGTTAGTACTGTAAATAATCTTTCAATTTGAATTTTCAACTCTAGATGGCATCTCTAACATTATAAGTTTTTATGCCGATGATAGACACATGTTAAAAGTCTTAAACATCATTATCAAGGCCTTTGTTTAGGTTGAATGGTTTTTCAGTTTGTTCCAATGATTACTAATAATTTTAATTTATTTTTCCAAGGCTATTATGAAAAATTACATTCGAGCAATGTAACTGGGAACACGGAAAATAAGTGAACAAGTTGAAATGAATTAAAGTAATAAACATCTCTAATCACGAAACCTAAACTTTCCTGCATGAAATCAAGAGTTGCTCAGAAGTTTCAAACAGAAAAGTCATAACAGGTTCTAAAAAAAGGACAATGTTTTATTATTAATATGTGGAAGGTCTTTATTATCTGATTTATACTTCTGTATATATTAGTTTTTTTAGGATGTTATAAAAAATGTTTTTCGTATTTTTATTAATTAAGAAATATGTTGCTGAATTTCTTATAAAATAAATAATTTTTATTCAATTGCTTCAACATGGAATCTGAATAACGTTCCCAGTATCTCGAAACAGATGGATCTAATATAACAACTGACATTTAGAATCCATTAATTTCAGGGCTTTCCGATTAATGTGCCGGAAGTTTGATTACGAGAACCCCTAGTAGTTTCTGGAATGTCCTTTTGCCAAACTGTTTCCAGGACAGTGTTAACTTGAAGTGCTCCGAGTAAGGCAAAGAGGTGAATCGAACAGAATTGCTGTATTTTATTCCATGTATAGTGAAAGTAGTGTCTGCATAAGGAAAATATGGAATTTTTTTTTATATTCAGCTTGGTATTCCTGATTCGAATTTTTGTACTTTTGCAATATTTCGCTGTTGACCATTTCTGATGGTAACAATTCGCTGGTAACAAGTCGAGTACTCATAATTCACCTTAAAACCAAGCCCCCGTATATGGTATAAATCAGAGTTACAAGTTCTAATCACTCACTAGACTAGATCAGCTTTATTCTAAAAAAAATTCAAGCACGACAGCGTAACGTGTTACAGAATAAGAGTACAAAAATATGGATTAATATTTCACCTATGCTCTTGCTTTTTGAAAACAAAGTGGCCTTATAGATTGTTTTGCTAAATTCATGTTGTTGTTAATCTTGATGGTATTGTTTTGGGAATAATTAGTTTTGTTGAGAAAAATATTCGCTTTTCGTCGCCACTACCGGACCAAACGATCTTAAATTTTCAGTACTTGAAGCTGCTAGGAAGCTATTGCTTGTTTTTTCAAATTATCACTTCATGTTATAAAATCAGATACTTCACCTAACATTTTGTCTTTTATTTTAATTAAAGTGAAATACCTTTGATTTCACTTTGATTCACGCTTTTTTTTCAAAGAAAACTCGTTGCTATAACTTATTGCAAAAATACATTCAATTTAGTGGGACATAGAATATTACACTTGCCGACAAAAATTCTTCATAGTGCCCAAGATGTCTTAACCGTTTTTAGCAAATTTGAGGGCGTTGATTTCAGAAATGCTGTTACTTTTTTATATCAGAGGTCTAGTTTTTCTGCTATGGTATATCCCTCTCTGTAGGAAGCCGTTAGCTACAATAAAGATAGACAAATTAAAGAAACAACATTTTTCTGTAATTTTATTAAACATATGCATGGAATCTCACCAAAATATTCACAATTAAAGCTGGAAGTTGTAATAAATGATAACTAGAGATGTCATAAACTTTATTTGGAACTGTTTATAAAAAGGCTCCAATGTTGGACATCAAGCTGCCGCAGCAGGCCGGCAACATCGTTGCAATATACTATGTCTTTTTCTTGAATGAAACATGACAAAAATTCAATAAGAACACTTGAAGCTAAAAGTTCAGAAGATTCTTTGGAAAAGTTGAAATCTCTAGTCAGATCATTAGGTTATAGTTGAGAAAAAAGCTGTGGCAGTGAAGAACAAGGAAAACCGATATCTGAAACAGCTCCTTCACTACTATCAGTGGACAATACGGAGTTCCGATCTCATCCAGAGCCAGGCAATTACAATTTGGCAAGCCTTCAAAGCAAAACAATGCAGCTTGTTTATTTTCTGTCTGACCTAAAAAAAATATGCCACGATCGGAAAGCTTATTGGCTACACAGTGTCCACTTCTTATCAACTACATATCTATACCAAATTTGACTTTTACTTTAAGGTGTGTGATGTCATAATCGTTTGGCACACATCACAATAAAAACCTTGTAATTATAACGCTGAAATGCATATAGAAATACCCCTAATTTTAATGCAAAAAAGGGGGGTAGGTTAGTATGTGCAGCAAGATGGCACATAACCTGAACTTAGTGTGATTACCAGGTTAAAGTTATTAGGTTGTGCGCCATCTTGTTGCACACACTACCCCAGCATCAAAAACGGTATAAAATAGCAAATATTTTAATAATTTGACCTGATGAGAAAAAACTAGTATGATTTTCGTACTCAGCACCGCTAAATTAACCTAAATCAACTTAGAAACCTTGGGCACCAAAAAATGTGTTGGCCAGTGTCATTCACCCGTAAATGATACACAATGCTATGGAAACAAGCGGAGAATATTGTACAATAGTGTCGCTCAATGAAGTATTTCAGACAAAAACTCAGTGTCGAACTTCAGCCATTCATAATAAATCTCGCAGGAATCAAGCAACCAACCCAACCGAAGTCTCAGACTGTATGTCAATTTATAGGCAGTCGAGAAAACTAGAACGTAGTAGAATTTTGACACAAAAAGAGGTATCTGGACCAGGACCTTCTACGATCATACAGGACTAACTCAACTTCAACTCTTCAAGTTCACGCTCAGGTATTTTTATTTTGCAAGTTTCGACGCCCAAATTCAACAATTCGCGTATATATACTTGTCTTTCACCAGCATCAACTCACAAATTCTTTTAAGTTGTTTATCCTTATAAAGTTATTATTACAACTGAATGTTTTGTGTGTCTAACGCCACTCCATCGGATCAGAAGCTACGAACCTGAGCAAATCAATCCGCCTCATAGAAATTCAAAATTACTAGGACAACTTCATGTTACTACCGGATTTTCAGACATGTTTACCGACATCGCCAAAAAAAGCTACGCAGGGAAAAAGATTGATATTGAACCTAATCATTTTGGGCCAAGCATATGATTGATATACGCAAGCCGATTTCTTTACCAAGCAGCAGCATTTATATCACCTATTAATTGGCAAACAATTATAAAACATCCACTTTATTCTCTTATTCTCATTTAAAAAACAAAGCCGAATAGAAATACTCGTGGCCCACGGAGAAGGGTCCTACTTCAATATCGAAATCAACTATTACGTTCGACTATGGGACGCGGAAATTGCACTCGCTTATAGCCGGCTTATGACTTATATGTAGGCTTACCATACGTCCCGGTTTAGCCGGGACAGTCCCGTTTTAGCATGTTTTTCTGACGTCCCGGCGGTAGACCTACATGTCCCGGTTTTGCAGTATGACAGTCATGAATAATATTTTCTATTTGATGTAATCACAAAATTGTTTTTTTAACGGCAACCGATTTAACACAGATTTGCGTCTCACTTCACTAGTTCAGATAGAGAGAAAAATAGTAATGTCATAGTTATGATATGAAGTATGAACCATACGTTAATTGAACCCCCAACTGTACTGTCGTTGAATCTTCAAAATTCCGAAAACAAAGTGCAAGTCTTCTAATGAGTTGAACCATTTCCATTATTTGTAACAACGACCAAGAAAGGATATTGTAATAGAATTTACAGCTAATTTTGATGCCCTTGTAGGGACAATCATATCAAGTTGTTTGGGTTTCGGTAATTCGCGCAAAACTAGTATTATTAGTTGTAAATCGGGTTTAACTCAGATTCTTTGAATTAGCATAAACGAGTTGGTCATAACAATTCTTACTTGTGCGTCTTTCGCGTCGCAGGCCATAGCCCGGGGATAAAACATATTGTTTCGAATTTCGATCGGACAATCAAGATTAGATCTCTTGCCGTTCTTGATAGTAGTACATTAACTTTGGGACCAAATTTATTATATATAAGCACGCCACGATTTGTATCAAAAAGATAGGAGAGGAGTGTCAAGACAGAAAGTAACAGTATTTATCCGTAAGATACTGTAGAATTGTGACGATCAAGTAGGCAATAAAATATCAATCGTGTGTTGGTGAATTCTGATTTCTTTGCATTCGTTGTTGGGAGTGAAGATCAAGCAATTTCAGAAAGAGAGTGCGATAGAGATCAAGCTAAGGATTGAACCGCTCCCATCTGCCTTTATAGGTTATATAAAGCCATCAAGGATGGCTTGTCCGATCCCCACCGTCCCGGCTTTTTGCTTCAGATATATGGTAAGCGTAAGACTATACCTATGTGCTAAGCAGAAGCAGTTTTCTTGTGCATAAGATCCATATTAGTAAGTCTATTTGGTCTCTTGAACTAGCTCGTGTGTGTGCGACAAGTACGCGTCATAAATTCAACAACACCAAATTATGGTATATATACTTCAACGCGACAAATCAAAGAATTTCCTAAGATTAAAGTCACTTTTCAATCAAATCGTTTTTTATTAGCCATTCAGGCAAACGGGCACAATAAATTGAAATCAAAATAAAAAATATATACGTATTTATGCATTTGCACAAAATGGACAGGATAACCGCGAAATGACCATTTGGTCCATTAGTCGGCGGCTCCTCTGCAATAGCTGTATGAATAAAACTTAGGAATACAAAGTTACCACAACATAAGTAAACGCTGCAGATACACTGTGTAAAATTTTTGTTTTTAAGCTGTTTTTATCATGGCCTGAGATAATTTCAAAACCTATTTTAGTGATTTTTATCGATAGCTTAAGTAAAGGGGAATGCTCGTATACCATTACTTCAGTATTCTGGATTATTATATAATTTTTCAAATTGGAGTGATTTTTCAATTTTACAACAAAAAACTTTTCGATCGACCCATTACGACAAAATATCCCTTTCAAACAATCCTAGGATAAGAGAAATATTCAGAGCCACTTATTAAAAACGCAATGTGTTCTTTTCCTTAGTTAGTACATGTTTTTCTTCATATTGCTGTCTAAAAAATATGTTATTTTGCAATACGCTCATTTAGGATATATTGTACCTTTTTCTATGAATGCATGGTGTGGTGATTTGTGTCTCAAAATCTAGCAACGCTTCAAAGAGCCACGACATTTGACCCTGCTGACGTATACTGTTCGTCCTTTAATAGCATGGTGTTTTCATCACACATGGTAGGTCAAACTTGGTACGAGAGAAATGTCACCCCACCCGATTGAAATAGAGAGCAAATATGAATCAAATAGTGTCGTTTTCTTGAATTTTACACCTAACTTTATGAAATTAAAGTTTCCCATCAAAATTCATGACATCATGCAGCATTAAAGGGTTAAGAACTATGTGTACTTTAGCAACATACGCTAGTACTTTTGGTATTGACAAACTTTGAACTTTCAAATAAAATTGTTCATCATGTTTTACCAGTTATTTGGCGAATTCCATATTAGCATATCGATTAAAACGAACCCGTCAAATTGATTGTTGAGGAAAATGCAGTTGATTGTTGCAGCGAATCTGCCAACCGGAAATAGATTTTCAAATTGAAGCCTGAACCGTTGAACGTTATTCAAACGTTTGACCGCAACGGAGATGACTGGCTCAGTGCAGGTTCTACTAAAACCTATCTAGAAAATCCACTCAGAAATCCAACACTAGTAGAATAGTACGTTTTAGAACTTTCAAGAAAATTGAACTTATGTGAAGATAACGACAGTCTTGGCTCTTGGAAGCAGGGTTCGGTTTCGGAAGATATATATATTGAGAATTACATAATAAACTTTTGCAATGCTATTGACATTGATTGTCAGCAAATTATTGATATATATTCGAAATCGTCAATTAAGGCAGGGAACTTTGTCTTTGATAGTGAAAAATCCGTACTAGTCCAAAACAACTCGGTTGATCTTTTTCTTGCAAAAGGCGTACTTCATAACACGAATTTGAGTCTATGTATTGGTGAGCGAAAAAGGGTAACTAATTATCATTTTATCGTTTTTCTAACAAAGCGAAAAATCAGTCCGTCGGGTGTAAATTCAACGGAATTTTCGAATAGTAAGGGTATTTTTATGAATATCAGGAAAATAATAAAACTATATAACGAAAACAGTTTTCGTTTAGAATTTTGTATACAAGTTCAGACAATAAATGGTAAAATAATATTATTCTCCCCACGAATGAGGGCGGCCATAAACGACTACGGATGTAACGGCCCTTAAGCTAGAATTGGGCTTGGTTGATATTACCAAGACCAATTAATAGGTATCACATAACTAAGATGACTTGATAGGTGTAAACTATTTTTAAGCCTCAACTCTTTGTATGCTCGTAAGCGAGAAATATTACCGACAATAACTTTTATAGCAACGATACTTTGGTTCTTATTTTATTTCTGTGAATTGCAATTGTTTTCGTTTCATTTTATTAAAAGAGATATTTCATTAAAAGGAATTCCTAATTACTCTCTTCTATCTTCAGGGTTTATTTGGAATAGTATACTTCTATAGACATTTTACTCTAATTGTGGTATAATACGAAAGTTGTGTTCAGTGTTTAGTCGGACTTTTATCAGGTTTTTGGTTTGGCATATTCATTGTTCGCGTCTGGCCAGCCTTAATTATGTTCCATATTTTAATTTCGAGTAGAGCATAATGAGGTCATATACAAACGATGTATCATTTATTGCGCAGCGGAAATGTGACGACGACGGAAATATTAGAAGAAAATTGCTTACTTATAAAATTTGACTGGTGCATTATAAATTCAATCTAATGCAGGGGTCGGCAAACCGAGAAAATGGCCAATGAATCACATTTTTTCACACAGATTTCAGTTAAATTTCAAGCAGCGCGCGAAGACATTTGAATATTTTCTGCGCCATTAAATCATTTGCACTCAGCATCAATTTGTTTACGTTCTGTTGCCATTTGTCTAATTATAATCAATTAACAGGCTCATTAAACGAGTGATTGGGAATTATATACTTGTTAGGTTATAATATAATTTAGTGTCTCAAAACAAATTCTGTTACGTAAAGAATATAATCGTCAATACAGTTGTCTTGTTAATATAATTCAGTGAAGCGTCGCGGGCCAGATTATATTGTTCCGCGGGCCGGATTTGGGCCGCGGGCCGTAGTTTTCCGACCCCTGATCTAATGGTACCATCGAGAACAAATGGAAGTTTTTTTTTATTATTTAGCTTAGAAGCATCGCAGAAATTCCTCAGGCTTTTTAATTTTGCCGATTTTTATAGGGTAATCGCAATATTTATTCAAATTTGAGAATTTTAATTAGTCTTGAACTTTATCTTTCATGCGTTGTGAAACATGTCGAAAGGATATCAGGTTTCAAAGTTTCATACCTCATACGGGATGCCGAATCCATAGAACCGGTTTTCACCGTCTGATGACGTACTCGGGAATGCCGGCAAACCTTGTTGTCTCTAGAAAGTTGCTATTAAAGAAAAATAAGTTTTTTTACAACAACAATAACATCGAGAAGAAAACTATAGATCTATATGACCACTTCGTTTCCATTAAAAAATAATTCCCACTGTACACAAATACTATCGAACATTAAGGGAATAGTAGGGGAAACTACCACAATATATAATAACCAAAAGTCGTGATGAGTGAGAGCAATCTTCGATTCAGAATTTATTTTCGTTTATATTCTCAATGATGTAATTTGCTTTCATTAAAAATTCTTTTGAAACTTTTTCGGTCTTGAGGGAAAGACTTCGAATTCACCGCTGAGGACAACACCAATACAAAAATTTTATGCAAGTAACAAAGTACGGTGGCATCGTGCTAATTTTCAAATTTTTTGAAGTTTGAATTTGGCCAATTTTGTGAAAATTGAAGAATTTGGTAAGGTAATCGAATTATTACAAACTTTTATGGTCCCGACGGCAAGAGTCTGAATTCAAATAGAAGGCTAATTTGAAAACGTATCGAAATTAAAAATTGTTTTGACATAGTTTGATTTTTCATGCTTGTTAGGTTGGAATATTGACAATTTTGTAAAAATTAAAAATTTTGGTAAGATAATCGAATTACTACCATAAAATTCGAATAACTTAAAAGTGCAAAAACTTTCAACTTGACAAGAACAACTTATCATCGCATCTTGATACAATTTGATAACACGTTAAAATGTCTGTAGGGAGATGCTGAATTGTACTGCACATCTTGGCTGCATATTTTCGTCATTTACAACCCAGGACTTCAAAATCGCACAATGGTGCCTGGTTTTGTAAATTTGTTTTCTCACCTGTACAGTGGTCTTTGGTTCTGAACTAATTTGATGTATGAATACGGTTGCCAACCGTCGTTTATTTTGAAGGACATTTTAGCATCGCTTCAAGAGCCACAAAACATTCAAATATAGGAAAATACACTACAATGATAATTGCGAACTCACTTTAAATGTATTCTCATTTACGCGCAAATATTATGCATGAAACCGAATAAATTGGCGTTGGGTTTTACCTATATTGTGTCGCATTTCTTCCAAATAAGATTTTTCTCTTTGCATCTCACTCCGGTTCGTATGCGGTCGCTTCAAATAATTTGTATTCGTTTACAAACTTCACAAAATTTCATCCATGCGACAATCCCTATATGTCGAACGCGAACCAATCGCATATGAGATATATGTGTGCAAAGCGGGATACGGATGAATGATTAACAAATACCGCAACAGTGTGCCCTCGCATACTGTTTTTCTTTGCATACACTATATCTGAAATGGTATAATCTTGAATTTAAGTACAAACGGTTAAAAAGCATTGGTGAACACTTTAATCGATCAGATTCATCTAAAAATAACAATATCAATTGCAACGTTATTATAATCTGTAACGGCGCTCTCACTTTCTTTTTTGTTAAAGGGGCAAAAAGTTAAAAATTAGGAATAGGTCACTTATTACCTTGCGTGAACGCGACGAAGCGCGTGAGACTTCCAAACAAACAGTTCATCGCGGTATGGAATTATTCTATCAGAAGATTTCAAAAGTAGAAACGGATGTGGAAGTATCCATTCACCGTTATATCAATTAGTTTACAGAAAATTAAGATGAATTATTCTATCTTTCCAGTTGTAACACGTGATGAAATTGTTAGTATATATTTTGTTTTTATCTCCATATAGCATCGGCTTTAAATTATTGAGTTTTTATAGGATTTATACGCAGAATTATTTTCGGTAAAATTTCTACGAGCTATTGCTACCAATGGAAAACAAGGCTTCGCTGGTTTTAGAAAAGTGCAATATCGTATTTGAACACAATGACGAAGAAGGCTTAATGGAGGCGTATAATACATGGGCCGCAAAATACGATACCGATATGGAAGTTGTAAATTATAGCGCTCCAATCCAAACTGTGCGAATTGCGCTAAAATATTTGAGTTGTGATGAGTCCGTAAAATTGCTAGACGTTGCTTGTGGCACTGGATTCGTCGGAACATTATTGCGAAACAAAGCCTTCAAGGGACTACTTCATGGAATTGATGGCAGTCAAGAAATGCTTGAGCTTGCGCGGCAAAAGAAGATATACGATGAATTATTTACCCAATTTTTATCACCCGGAAAGCCAATTATGGCAAGTCGGGGCCTAAAATATGATGCAATACTATGTGCTGGAGGGATAACCAAGAACCATCTGGATCCTGAGCTCTTGATAGATTTCTTGGATGTTTTGACATCAGGGGGAATAATGGTGTTTGCTTTAACTAAAGGTAAATACAATGTCGAAGTGGAAAAAGTCGTTGATGAGGTCTTAAAATCTCTGATTATTTCTGGAAGAATTGAAGAACTTGAAGTGTATGTGAATGAGGATACATTTAAAGCAGGTGAAGATGCTGTACCAGAGAATTTCAAGAAAGACGATTCGTCTTCAACTTTTCCCTGTTGTATTTATTGTTACAAAAAAAATGATTGACCACAGGACAGTACTTGCATGTGTGTCAGTATTTGGTACAATTTCATTGTGTTATGTAATTGTTTTGTGTTCATGCATTGCTACAAATAAATTATATGCAAGGAATGCCCAACATGTATCTATGTGTTGCCGATGTTAGTATTAGTTTGTGAATAAATGCTTTTCGCCGTATTAATAGATCGAATCACATTTTTTGGAAGTAGAATGAGTAGCGGGAGTGCTTTTCATTTTGTTTTATTTTATTTCTGAGCTCCAGGAAGTCCAATAATTCACCCGAAATGTTTCTAGTTTTTCAAAAATAATGGGATCGCGTTTATGACATTTTATTAGCACAATTTATTTTTTCTGAAATGATTATGACATCGCAGCAGTCATTGAACTTTTGTGTCCATTTATTTGAGAATTTCTTTCTGTACCTACAGATCTACTATTTTACCATAGAGTTTGATCTATAGGGTTCTTATTGTACACAACAGTTTCTTCATGTGTTAGAAATATACTGAACGAAAGACCCTATTCGTGCTCTTGTGGTTGGTAAAATGCCATATATATATGGATTATTCAGTAGTTTAGGCCTAGGGGACTTGAAAAATACGATGTTAGGGAAACATCGCTAGAAGAAACTGAAGAGGTTTAAAACATATAGAGGAGTACTCAATTTATTTTGCCACTTCTACATCGGACAATTATGGGGTGCGGGTAACAACATATCGAACAGCCCAAAAGGGGACATGTGACGTCATGCATCTATTATAAATTGCTGTGACTGTGATTTCACTTTTTAAACAGTTTCAAATTCATTTTCAATGCGAAGCCATTTCATTTTTTCACTTTTACTGTACTGTGTGAGATTCAAGCAAACAGATAAAGGAGGACTTATGACGTCTTACATATAGATAGAGATATATGAGTCCCCTTGTTAGCTGTATCCAAGAGTATAAAAATCGAACCTGTGGGATAAGATTTGATTTTAACCTACAAATAATAAACAAGAAAACTTCAAAAAAATGCATTTTAAGCCTGATTTGAAAGAGAATAAGCATTAAGTCGGGTTACCACAGAAAATTCAGTTCCTAATGGTTTCCAATGGTTGTATGTGTTAGAATTAACCCCCGGAATAGATAAAAGTTCCCATCAAAGGGTAGGAATAACAAAAAAAAATTATTATTATATTGCAGTAATAATATGCTACTGAACTATCTAGAATCGCAACCAATAGTTTGCAAAGCAATATGTATTAGAAATCAGACAATCATTAGACTGAGATACTAATGCCAGGGTTAAGAGAATGAATTTATTTCATTAAAATATATGATGACGATATGATAGCTCCAAGATAACAGTAATCCATCAGTTATGAGATATATATTTTATGTTTTCACCAGCTTTACGTGGCTATGAGTTTGAAAGTATACCATTGGCGATGGCAGTTGATTGAGCACAAACGGAATTACATTTTGAAAATAAATGTAGCTTAATTTGTGATCCATGGCAATAACAGAAAATACAGGTTGTGCGACTTATAATTGTGTTAGGTCGATAACGATACCTCGTTCCATGGTAACAGGTATTCTGATATCAAGGGAAATTGTCAAAATGCACTTCTGATCATATTCTTCACTTCTTATATACACATTGGTTTACTTATCTTGAAAATATCCTTTCCTAAAGTAATGTTTATTTCCCTTTAATAGCAATACGGATGATGCCTCGTTTCCATGGCAACGAGGTATTTTCATGGATGGCACCATACCCAAAATTAATCAGAATATGCTACTGTACATGTGTGCCAAGTTTCATGCTTGCTTCCAAAGGTGCACAATTCCATCATTTTTGAGGTCTTATCCGCTGGACTATAATATAATTCATCTATGTTACACATATGATTCGGACATTTTCGTGCATGCTTATTTACTATATAAGAACAGTTATAGGGAACGATATACTGCAGTAAACTGAATCATAACGAATAGATCATCGTAACAGGACATGAAAAAGCTATGACAGTCCCCGTACCTTCTCGGTACCCCGATTTTCGAGAAATTGATGATGAAGTATTCAGTTTTGCCCTCGGTGTTCATATATTTAAGCATAGCTGTTTATGTCAGGCTTTAAAACAATTTGGCCAAAACAATTGATCTGAAGAGCTAGGCCACCATCGGCAAGCCGTGTAATAACTGAAAAACAACTGCGTAACGAGCAAATACTAGTCAAATAGGTGACTACTGACACCACACTCGTGCACGCCGCGTAAGATTTTGGAGCAGCTAAAAGATAACAGAAGCACCTGGCTAATAGCTTGCCCCAAATCTCAATTTACTTTGGTAAAGTCAACGGAACTGTTGTTGTTAGTACATCTTTCTGTGCTTGAAGGCCCAGGAACGCAGCTATTCATGTGTTCATCCAAAACGGTACTGTAGTTCAATTTTCGTAATTGCGTCTATAATACGCTAGCGAAGGTTATCTCGCAGTTGAGTGGAACTGCCATTCTGTAGTTTAGACCAGACGGCCTACCAGCGAACTATTTTCATTGGTAGATTTTAAATTCCAATTATGATCAAACAATTCACGCGCAAGAAAGTGAATACACCCTGACGCTGTGATCGCAAATAATCCTATTCATGTAATGAAACTGCCGTGGAAAGTATGCAAACGAAGTCGCTATATAATAAATTATTAGTCTTGTGTCGTGCCCCTCAAAGCTTGTGACGCTACAGCGCTGGACGTAATGCAGTGGATTGCAAACATCATTTATGTGAATCAACACCTTATTCATTCATGAGTCTTAAGCTTTACCTCACTGTTGCCGTTTCTTTCACAAGCTGCGAATAACGAAGTCAAAACCTAAGTGGATGAAGTTTTACTTGAGTTCGACTATGGGAGAAAGCTGGCTGCCTGTGCCAGCAATACTGCCCATTGAAAGTGATTTCGAGACATTATCTTTTGACGTTAAAATTTCTGAATTTGCTTCAATGAAAACTAGACATTGAATTTGGAACTTTCGATAAAATTTACTATTCACTGCTTTAATACTTCTGTTGTGTGGAATTTTATTCAGCTTTTACGACGGTGTTGAGGAGGCGGCATTTCGCACAAAGATCCAGGGGCGCCACATTGCGTTGTTACGCCACTGGTCTGATGTCGAGTGAATTTGATAACATAACCCAAAAAATTGCCTTGAACTAGTTTCGTGCAACGCAGTTTGAAATAAAAGGAATACTGTAATATATATGCGCGAAATGCGATACACGCATACAGTATTTGAGCCTGGGCAAGCACGAGAAAGCATATTATTACCTAACAAATGAAAGTTTCGCCGCTGCCGAGGTTTAAAAATGAACTTGTCGAATATCTAGTTTTTTGACTAAGAAACGATCCCACAATAACCTCTGCAGTATGAAAAACTCAATAAATTGTATTGGCAAGAAGACATTGGCACCCAACATGCCCAATTTTCCTATAATTCCGAGCGAACGAAAAATCGGACTCGGAGGAAATTGTAAATTAGATACTGAGGTTTCAGGAGTCATGTAACATTTATGGTTTGCGAATATTTATTTTTCGCTGTCCAGATAATATGGATACTTGGCAAGATTTTTTGAGAAATTTTTAACTAATAAATGATGAAAATTTACTCCGGGTACAATTACATAATCAAATTAACAAATAAAAGGAACACAAAAAATAGAAACTTTTGTGGCAATTTCCTTAAAAATGCACCAACAGAGCCGAGCTTATAGGCAGCGGCGAACTTTTATTTGTGTGTGTGTGTGTGTGTGTGCAGTTATCTGCATATTCAGTACTCAATCGTTTTTGTGTATGAACTTATATTACCGATCAGTCGATCGCGAGCTATTTTGAAGATTTTAGTAGATCGCGGCCAAAAGCAGGTTGGCCACCCCTGATATAGATGAAGTTATATCCCTGATTTGCTTTAATTCACGTAGTGACAAATTATCATCTCATTTTAATTCTTGTCCCCAATCCACTATATATATATATATATTTTCTTTCATATATATATATATGTTTTGAGTATATAGCACTAACTATTATCGTCTATACCTGACAGAATAGATAGATTAGATGTGATTGAGTTTCCAACTAATTACGTCTCACGTTTGGTGATATCGCATCAATTTTCATCACCTCATTTAACGAGTTATGGGGATTGAGCTGGCAGTCAATTTCAAAGCCATCTGCCTCGGGTGCGTAGCATCGGATTAAGCATCTTACATGAGAATATAAATAATAGGGCATGGCGTTACGTGCTTGCAAATTCGATACGCTCGTAAAATAAAAAGCCAAACTTTACGATGTAAACAGTCCCAATGGCTACCTTTCAGTAAAAAACTTATTTGGATATTGATTGTGATTCTTGATATATGAGAGCATGAGGTTGATTGAGTCTGATTCTAACACTATGCGCAAGCCGGAAAATCGATTGTCGGATACGAGAGCGTTCCCGGGCAACCGGTTAATAGTAATCTATATGTGACAAACCTATTTCCTGCCTGCATTCATCAGTTGAAAAGAATAGTGTTTTCTATGTTTTATACCAACAGTCAAATTGATTATCAATTTGTTAACTTCCGAACGGAAATAAGATTTCCACACTGAAGCTTGAACCGTTGAATGTTATTCAAACTGGAGATAGAACGTTTGTCTGCAACGTTGGTGACAGGTTCAACGCAGGTTATGCTAATTCCTATCCGGAATGTCCACTCAGATACCCAACACAAGTGAGAGAATATGTTTTGAAACATTTCAGAAAATTGAAACTGTGTAACGATAAACGATTTTGACTATTGCTGCGGTCTTGAAGAATATATTGAGAATTACTTATTAAATTTTCGCAATGCAGCAAGCAGTGAACATCTTTGTCGTTAGTAGTAAAAAATCTATGCTGGTACATAACAACGCCAGGAAAACATTGGGACCATGTGACGAATTTTAGTTCAGAATAAATGAATGTTAAATTAATATTATTTTCGTTACCGATGACGGCTGCCATATACAGCTACTTTTTCGAGGATGCAACGGCCTTCAAGCTAAAAGAATTAGGAATTTCTTGGATATTACCAATACCAATTAATCGGTATCATATAACTAAGATGACTTGTTAGGTGTATACTTATCTTCAAGACACAATTCTTTGTATGCTTGTGAACGTAAATTATTACAAATAATATTAACTTTTATGGCGACTATAGTCTGATTCTGATAATTTGATTTACGGACAAGTCAATGATAGGATATAAGTGTAACATTAAAAAGTGATAAATTTGTGACAAAGATTAATTCCCGTCAATACCATTGTGAGAAAACAATGGCTAATTCCACTCCTGGTATTGGTATACTGGTTCATAGTTTCTCATCCCATGGGTCACGACCCAAAACAGTTTTTTTTATTGTTCAAATTTGTTTTTTCAAATTTTATTGTTCATTTATTTTATACTAGTTAGTGACTTGCTGCTAAATAGCGAATAATTGTATATGTGGTAAGTATTACAGTGTAGTATTACGACGGACATAAAATCACTGCATGCCGTTTAGTATTTGAGCATATAATTAGGTCGCAAGATTTTACAAAATTTATTTTCCTTTATTATCATGAGATCCTCTGCCTTAGGTTACACCACAATGATCCTTTCTATAACCGTGCGCACAGTTAGCTTCTGATTGCACTCTAGTACTCTAGTATGGTGGATATCCAATTGGTAGCAGTTTTGTCTGATATATTCTCACATTTTGTAATATAATACTGGACGCAAATTTCCCAGAGGATCGAAGAATCACTTTCACCAGACAATCCACAAACTCCTCATGTCCACGTCGTGTCTTTCATTTTGGAATTTTCGATTTTATTGGTAATGGAATCTGTTTAAATAAAATCTATATTTTGCTAATTTGATGGACAAAAATATTCATAGTTAACGTTATCATACACCGACGAACATGACGGATTCAACTACGATTTCAACAAAAGTACAAATGTCTGTTGGAGAATCTTGTTTCTAATGCTCAAGATATTTATATATATCATATTTATAACATATTTATATTTGTTTCTATTTCGCATGTCGTTTTAGCAGAATAATCCGAAAGCAAAAATTTATTATACCGCTCATACCAAAATACGCTGTGATTCAGCATTCGTATCCTTGGAGCTGCAGACCAAATTTAAAATTTGAGAGAAATCAAGTATAATCTTCTAATATGTCATGCAATTATATGGATTTTCCCAATGAACCAGTAAGGTTGGTATCACTTGCGTTGTCTTACACCAGTGGCACTTCATAGCCCAATTAGTGTTTGGACTCAGATGTTAGGAATCTACTCGATATGAATTCATCGTTAGGGCGGTATTTTTGTGTACATCAGGAAAACATTGAATTTCTGTATTAGGAAACATATAAAGCGTTTACTGAGCTTGAGTCACGCTATAAGTTTGTTGCAGCTTAAACTCCAAAGCGGAAATAAGATTTTGAAGAAATCTTGAGCTCAAAGTTGAATGTTATTCATTAATGTCATGGTTCGAAATGTTTCAGAAAATTGAATCTATGTGAAGATAAAGACAGTCTTGGCTCTTGGAAGCAGGGTGTGGTTTCGAAAAATATATTGAAAATTACATATATAATTTTTTCAATGCTATTTGCTTTGATGTCAGAAAATTATTGATGTTCGAAAGCGTCAAATAAGGCAGGGAACATTGAAATTTCATGTTTTAGGACATTTTCAGTGACGGATTACACATAAACACAATTTTGTTTCCTAACAACTAAAATTGTATGATGTACAGTGTATACACTGCAGTACTTTTCAATAATAAAATCTCGCTCTCCGTAATCAGAAAGACATGCTGCCGGGGTTTGAAAATGTTAAATTTCTTGTAATATGTTTTTTATAGCGAGGTTTATGATGAAATAATTTTTGACATTGAATTAGACATGAATGCAAGATTTGTTCATGCAAGATGTACATTTTATGTATCTGATTTATTCCAACTAATAAAACCTTTTGTTGTTTGTGCGAAAACCGTGTTGATATTATTTGAATTTTGCATTTTAGATTTATAGTAAGGGAAATCCTGTGTTTCCCAGATAATAACACAGTGTCCTATTTCAATCTATTTTTGGGGGGGGGAGAGGGAGTCTTTATTTTTTACATATCCAAAACACAAAATTACAAAGTGGAGAATTGAGAAAATTCCAAAAATACGAAAATTGATATTCATTTACTTATAAATAACACGTTTTAATTCGAAATGATAGATTGAACATAGAATATTAAAACGAGTAGAAAACATTCCATGATATCGACCAGGTCAAAAATGTTTTGCGTTAACGACTAGGTCTTATTTAAAAAAAAAACTCAAATTACTCTCCGTTATCCTCAGGATTCAATTTGCAATATTGTACTTCTACAGACATTTTTTACTTTATTTGTGGTATGAAGACCAACGTTATTTGTGTTTTATATTTTAATTCTGAGTAAAGCATATTAAGGTCATATACAAAAGAGCATATGAAACGTAACAATGCACAAATCAAGTAAATTTGAAGTATTATGCGACATAACGATATCTTTAGGAAAGTTGACAGTTTCAATGGGTAATAAAACATAAAAAATCTAAAGTGGGGTCTCGTTGATGATCGCATGCCTCAATACGTTGCATTTTTTCTCAAAGTTTTTGATTAATTCTACCGTGTTACCATATGTTACCATACCATGGTATAGGTAGCTTTCGTTTGGTATAGGTAATAGTAAACTGAGGGACATTAAATGAAAATTTGTGGTGGATTTTTATTAAACTAATATGGCGTTTCTAGACTAGCAAATTAATTTGAATGAAAAGTATTGTTCTTCATCAACGAAGACTTTTAAATCAAGACGAAAATGATATCTGTACTTCTCAGAAATCCATTGGTAATATTATTTCAGTTGATTTTTTTAATCTAAATTGCGCTTGGATGTGTTACTATGTACTCTTTTGCATGATTTGATTGAGTAATTTGAAATTTACGAACCAGACAATTATGACCATCATTTTTATTGTGCTTTTTCTTGATGTGGTGTTCTCGCGGGGATATTTTGAACTTGGTCTACCCACTTCGGACAAGTTGGGTCTGTGTGATGGGTTCTTGCTCAACAATTGATTTCAATGGCTCGAATCTAACACTAAATAACTTTTTTTCACAGCAGAAGATTTATAACCGAAGATGTATTCGTCTTGTACACCAAACGCAAGAAAAACTAAGTGAAGTTAAAGTGGGTATAAAAATGTAAAATTTGAGTAATTATTCACGGGTAATTTTTTTACTGATGAAATTCTGAAATTTGTTTCTCAATTTACCAGAGTTTACTAAACACGACGACAAAATGCTTTAATGATGTTTTTCAAATAGAAAGTTCCCAGATATTATTTTCCATCTATTGTTATTTGAATATAGGAAGCAAAAGATTCTTGTCCGGTTTCGTCTCACAATGAATGGGATCCGCTTGAAGAAGTGATTGTTGGGAGACCCGAAGGGGCCTGCGTGCCAAGATTTTCAATCGAGGTCAAGGTGCGAATAAGAAATTGAATAAAAATTATATTGTTGTTGTTGCAATTTTTTTATTTTCTCACCTAGAAAAGGCATATCAATCAATCTAAAACGGGCGTGTTTTGGAGGGCTTACTTTGGAAAAACGCTGAATCCTGTACATATTTTTAATTCTGCAGTAAGCCTTTGTAAAGTCATTATTTATCAAAATGAGGTTTGAACAAACATATGTGTAATTCCCCTTTCTTGGAGAAATGATGGTCGTAAGAAATTCACATTTAAAAATAGGGTAGTTTAGATTAGAATATGTTTTCTTTTGAAGTAGCATTGTTTTTTGTCATTAATATAGGCAAATACAAACCACCGTCATTGGGAATGGTACGAGAAGAATGGCGGAAAATCTTTCCCACAAGAACATATCACACGAGCCATTGCACAGGTTGAAGAATTTTGTAACATTCTCCGACATGAAGGAATCGTAGTCCGAAGACCAGATATTTTGGATTGGTCTAAAGAATATGAAACACCGGATTTTAAAACAAATGGCAAGTTTGTGTTAAAGCGATTTTAATTCTCAATTCATAATAATAAGTCATAAATAATTGAACATGAATTAGCATTAATAGCCAGAAACATGCTTTTATAGAAAGCCTTCATGCTGCATTTCAAATAATTGTCAAGAAATCATTGAACTTTTTTCCTGTCTCTCTGCGCGCCCTTGAATATAGACGGGCGATTTTCATAAAAGCAGGAAAAGCAAGATAGGTGAAGTACTTAATAAAGTGTGCGCCTCTTTTTTTCAATCGTGAAAAATATAGATGGTAAAACATTATAAGAGATATCAACATATCATTTTAAAACCTAAACGCGGGCATGCCAAAGGGAATTTTATATTAAAAAAATTCATTTAAATTAGGCGATGTACTCAAATTCATATAGCATGTTTGCGACTCCTTTGAGTCCTGCTCGAACAGAATGTTTATCCACCAATTTTGCAATCATAATAACGCGGTTCTGATTCCATAAGTCCAAATCGACTTTCATTTCTGAAATTTGTATTTTATATAAGATTAGACGCATTTTCATACTTGATTAGCTCTATATACGAATCGAACAATATATATAATTTTATACACAGGAGTTTACGCAGCAATGCCTCGAGATATACTAATTGTAGTTGGAAATGAAATTATCGAAGCTCCGATGGCATGGCGATCTAGATTTTTTTAGTATCGAGCATATCGATCAATAGTCAAATATTATTTCAGAAAAGGGGCGAAATGGACAACTGCGCCTAAACCCGAGATGAAAGATGAATTATACGACAAGGTGACTTAATTTATTTACTTGGTTCTAAGTACAGTAATATATACTTTACTAAAATTTGTTTAATTTTCATATTTCCCGTAACTAGACCAATATTTCAAAATGGACTACCGGTATATAATACTCCAGCAACGATCCCCAAATCTTCCTTTTCGTGAAGCAAATTTTCTATTTAATTATTTTATATGGTTTTCAGGAAATGGTAGAACTAAAGTGTACGAAGTATCTACTGTGAAGCGAAAGCTATACTTATATAAATTTATCATTAGTTGTGAGCGCAATACCGACAAATACAGTTACTTGATTTAATGATATCAGTCTAATATGAGATTATATCAAGTTTTCTTTTCAATTTAATCTAATTTCAATTAAAATTCTTTTCAGAGTTACCCAATTAATAACGTTGAAGATCGAAATGCACTGGCAAAACAAGGAAAATTTGTAACTACAGAATTTGAACCGTGTTTTGATGCCGCTGATTTTATTCGAGCAGGGAAGGATATATTTGTTCAAAGAAGTCAAGTATGCACATAATTATATTATTATTGGCGGGTCGTAAATTATTTCATTTATTAAAAGTAAGTTAGCTAATGCTGAAATCAAATATGAATCTGATAGAAAAGTTGCAAACAAATACTGACACACTGATAGATAGTTACGTGTAAATACTTAGGTGGTATGCAAAAAGATGTTACATGTATGGCTATAGCCGAGCAGTGGAGGTACATTTTAGTCACACTCATTTGTACCCGTACGTTTATAACCATAAATTGCCTCAGTCCTATTGTCAGTGCTGCATTTAAATACAGCTTAAAACTACGCCAATACCAATCAAGGTTTATCATAAGACTTGAAGAAAAGATACATTTTCATTGATAAAGACAATGAATAAATACTCATGACCCTCACAGTAGAATAAGTATACATTTTGACCAATAACGGTTCGCGATCCCTGATCTGTTTATACCGGAATCGAAGATTTATAACGTTACGGATGTCACGCGATGCAGTGAAAAGCTCGGCGAAGATCAATAAGATTCGGGGTTTGGCGTTTGGTTACAGATTTCGTTTGTAAACGCACTTTATCATGTTGCTTTGAGTTCGTATGCGAAATTGCGGAGATTAGCCCAATGAAATGTTACCCCCACTTTACGTGACAACTGGTCGTAATACCAATCCATATCGACCCCAAAACCCCCAAAAGTAGCTGTGCAATAAACAAAATAGGACGATATGAAAAAATCACAGTCGGATTTCACCAAAAAATATTTTTTTATTTCGAAGCGAAAAAATTACCATATATATAGCTTATAATAGCTGGTACAAATAGAGTATCATTCCAGCTTAATATTACTGTGCAGGGTGCCAGTGAAACATTTATCTGGCTCTGTCAGACATTTGGTACTGGCTTGGTCATGAAATACCTCTTGAAATTGCAATCCCAGGTCAGAAATCATCGAACGTCATGTAAATTGTGGACAATATTAGACGGAGTTGCTCACGGGTCCAATTTTTTTACATTCCATCATATCCGAGTTTCTCAAAATGAATTTTAACTCATAGGTCGGTTTAAATTTTTAGAAACTTTAACAAATTAGGTTTGCGGACGCATATACCTTGGTACCGCATATACCTGACTTCCTCCGCTGAGCACTAGGTTTGTTGACAAAATCAGCCGGCATACCTGCCAAGAGTGGCGTAATGGAAGTGTATATTTTAAAGTTTTATTTTTGTTTGCTCATTCAAAGGTAACAAATCGGATGGGAATTGAATGGATGCGTCGACACTTGGGGAGAGAATATAAAATTCATGAAATATCTTTCAATGATCCAAACCCCATGCACATAGATGCAACGTTTAATATAATTGGACCTGGGTTGGTGATCTCTAATCCAGAGAGACCTTGTCACCAGGTAAGAAAATTCAAACGCATTATCACAATAAAACAAATAAATATTAATGCTATTCTCACATGTGAAGTAAACCTTCAGGCCAAATATTCTGAATTGCAGTAAAATAAATTTGGTTAGTTAGATGAAATCGGAATCATTGTGCAAATGCACTTCAGCATGGTACGATCCCTCGTTTAAAAATATTAATATAGATTATGTAGTTGAAGATATTGTAATTACTAGATAATGTGATACAGCAAAAACTTCCAAAATTGATTAAAAGCATATTAGGCACGGGGTGGCGCATTTTAAAAATCATTGAAGTTTGACATGAACGGCGAATATCTAGCAAAATACAATACCAAAATCATGGCCTTCTAAAAACTTGTTATTTTCAAATTGTTTAAATTCGAAAGTGATAGGGTATTGGTATTCAAACATATTATCTCAACAATAAAAACAGATTCGTTATGCGTCCAGTATAGTAATTGAAGTTATACCGCAAATGGCACTTGTGAAAAATAAAGAACAGATTTTCCTAATTGAGGGAAGTGATATGCTCGACTTAGTGGTCGTTATATATTTTGAAACGTTTCTGATTTATTTTTAGATTGATTTATTCAAAAAAGCTGGATGGAAAATTGTTACCGCGGCAAAACCGGTAATCCCAGATAGTGAGTAAATCGTTTATATTCCTGCACCCATCAGTGACTGAATTATTGTCTCCTACTCACCCTCTTGCTAAGTAACGATTGTTATTATACATGTAACGCAATATATATAATAATTACAATCATTAAAAACAAAATTTAAAACGCGTATACGGAGCACAATATAATGGAAAAATACAGATACCTAATCAACTACTTCATGTTTCAGCTCACCCACTATGGATGTCATCAAAATGGCTTAGCATGAATGTTCTCATGTTAGACGAAAAGCGTGTTGTATGTGATGCTAATGAGATTCCTACCATTAATATGTTTGAGAAGCTAGGTAAGATCTCACACGTCCCATTATAGATAATTGTTGGTACGCGGTGCAAATATATATATTATGTTGACACGTTTCTTACATGCCCTGAATATTTTTCTTATTTACCTTTCAGGAACGCATTGCAAGTATATTTATAATATGAGTCAATATGACGTTTGCTTTCACTAACGTTTCAATTTTAATAAGTGATAATTTTGTATATGTTGTTGTTCTGTATAGAAAATAAATTTAAAAAATTTATGTACAGACATCAAGCCCATAAAAGTCAATCTCCGATATGCAAATTCTCTCGGTGGTGGATTCCATTGTTGGACAACAGATGTGAGAAGACGAGGGACCTTGGAATCTTATCTTTGAATGATATTCTGGTCATTCAGTATATTTAATTTGCATTTATATGGAATCAGGATTTTATTATTTGTGTGTGTTCGGTATTAGTTATATTGTAGAATTTTATGATAAAATATAGATTTTAACCGATTCTTGTATCTTTAATTTTTGGTTTATTTTATTTCAGAAAGATTTTCAGTGATTCTTTATTCAATTTATGTACCAAGGTTGCAAGCATAAGACTATGTTTGTTTTATTTAAGTGGTTATGTTGTGATGAAATGTATTTGTGTTGCTGAATTAATTTCAATCAGAATAGAATTGGAGTCGGAGGAAAATATGATTTGCAATTGTCCAATTTCGTTTAGGTTGAATTATGATTCAGATAATTTATTTAGGTCCTGCATGAAACATTGTAAACATAAATAATAACAAATCGAGCCACACGAGAGAAAACAGACTTATAATGTTTCGGATGCAATTGACTAAGAGCCGCGAAAAACTATCAAGTCAGTGTGTCAATGACGCCATATTTGCTAGGTTCAGTAGCAGATGACGTCAAGATAATGAAATTGATGAAAGTATGCGGCTGCAAAGACGAGATAACTGAAGGGGAATTTCCAACAACCACAATATGAAAAGCCGGTTTGAATTAAGTACCGGTAGAGCGATATATAATTTACATTTTCGTCTAGAGAATTAGCTATGTCAAAGATCTAGTGGAAAAAGTCACTCCAAAGACACTCGAGCAATAATGCATACATGATGCTAATGCACATTAGTAAAAAAATTGTAAATCAATTCCAGTTAAATTTCTTTTTAGTCTCCGTAAAAGATATAAAGTGATATAAAATTAATCGCACAAAATAACGAGATATAAAACACTGCAATGAAGAAGAGAGTATTGGATCTCAATCCTTTCATCCTAGAAGACCGGTAAAATGGAATAAAATGAACTCACGGACCCGCAAAATTTTAAATGAGTTAAACATAATAAGGTATTATTGCGTAATATAAGGTCGGTTTTCACTATATTTCTAGGTAAAAAAAATAAAATATATTTGAGGAATAAATACAATGCCGGGCATTCACTCTGTTTCTAGGTAAAACACACATTTTACATGTCATATCACGTACAAATACAATTAGTGAGTATATTGCTGCTGTATTTATTCCAATATAAGAGGAAAACGAGGCATCAAAAAAGTTTCTGCAACACGTAGCTCTGCAGCGGCGTCCATTCGATTTTTTTTCTTTGTTTAAAGTTTTTTCTCCTACGTTACTGGCTAAATTTACGTACAGCAGTTTGATTGCTCGATTACGTAGCGACTCGTATTCATTTTCAAAAGATATCCAGAAATGAGACAATGATTGTTTTTTATAAGCACTTCGCAATGAATGCATTTCGTGCAGAAGTAATATTCACATTTTACATAAATATAAGTTAGTACATTTATCATCAAATCTACAACACAAATATGATTTCAAAATTATGTACCGCATGATTCATTGAAATACTTTGAGTGCCAATTTTAAAAATGTTTAAAGAATTTATTCCTGATTCCTCAGATGACGTACAATATGGCCAATATCCAAACCACTGTGTCCTCAACCTTTCAAACTCAAATAGTTCGAGGCAAATATATAACGACGGCAATCATTTACGAAGTTGTCAATTTTTTCATCAGATAGTTCTCACCCCTTCGATTACGATGTGTAGTTGGCGTGAATTTTTTAAATATATTGAATCCATAGAATCTGTGAAATATTTGTCAAAATTTGGTTTGAAGTCCAATCTACCACATCGGCTGGAATTAAGCAATCTTCAATATAACTTTACTTATTGTAAATATATTACAAATGACACTCATTATGAATACCAAAGCAGATCAAAATCAGATACCTTTTGTTATTCTCAGCTTGCTGGATTGTATCTGGCATTTTCACTCCCAGTGTTTCCGGAATCCAAATGATACCAATAATTCCACTCAAAATAGCTATCGTACCCATTATCCAATAAGGTACGGAGTATTCAATTTTACCTGTTAAAATCAAATTGCGTGTTCTGTTACTTACAGTGCTTAATAAGTAGGGTTACCATATTTTTTTGACTTCAAAGTGGGACGCCTTTTACTACATAGGCCTACATTTAAAGCCATCTGCTGTCTTTATGACCATATTGTCATCGAGAGTTCATGCGCATATTCTCTGTATAAATATCGGGTTCAGTTCGAAAAATAGAAAGGAATAGACACTAACGATACACATGATCCGAATTTAGATTTTTTTATGTCCAGCAAAAGGAATAAAGAATAATGAAATAGTCTGTCGTTTTGAAGCATTGAGGCTTAAGTATGCTTTTCTGTAGATAACACCTTCAAAAAGACGATGTTCAATGTTACATTCACGTGAACGTCCGAACAGGACCAATTAGAATTGATTTTACATGTGATACGTTTGCTAACAATGTTAGCGGGAAACAACGAAACAAACAAAATAACGCATTCACCTTCAGGAGGTAAGCTACCGTTGCGCTACACTACCCTACGTCTAAACGTCGGACAGAGAAAAATATTATAAGAAAATATCATGTTAATTCAGAACTACAAAAACTATATACTGTATAATGAAAATCTGAACCAAGTCGAATTTCGGAAAACATCATCATACACTTACGATCTTGCTGTACTTACTCAGAAACATTACAAATGGCGCGATAAACGCCCCAGCACGACTACAGAAGGATGCTATGCTCATTGTGCACTTCTTTGTGGAGTGGGAGCTATTTCGGACGTGCTCAAAAAGATTATATAAAATACTGCACTTACGGCACCTTTTCCGATTATTGAGATTATTGTTCTGAGCGTGGATAGATAGGTGAATAATATATATGTTTCAAATAATACTGTAAAACTATATATGGAGTGAACGTTTTTAGTCAAATTTAAATCTTTATTTTTCATTCAATTTTTATCACTTATTTGTTATACTACCGCAACAATAAATTGCTGACTTTACACCATAAACTGCTTCCCCCGATTCACCGAAATGTTTCAACTTCGTTGAGCTTGAATCTTTACAAAACTCTCTATGAACAAAGAACAGTGGGTACTAAATGGCGAAATAATGGTTGATTATCTACTCGCAAAGTTCAAATATACAATGAACCATGAGAAAAAAGTTAAAAATATTCAAATTGTGCGGTATACATTATAAGCATATATTGACTTGAATATTTAATTTAGTTTTTGAAAAATATATATCAACTGCATTTTCAAAAGTGCAGAGTCGAAATATGAGATAGCTTACAGAAGCAGAAGGTTTTTGTCGTAAACTTTAGTTAGCATGGAGTTAGTAATGAAATATTATTCAACACGTGATCGAAGCATGTTCAAGTTTCTTAAACTTCCAATATATACTGATTAGAGGATTTCAGTTTATATCTAACCTGTGGAAAATTATTGGTAAATTTCTGCCAAAAGCGATAAGGGTTATTATAATTTGCTAAAAAGATTCATAGTATGTTTTACATGATGAAAGATTTATTAACATCTTGTATTGCAATAAATACTAAAATACTACAAAATGACAATCAAATGAGCACATTATGTTACAGTATGTTTATGGCCTATTATATTTCGTACTACCTGCAATACAAAACTTAACTTCATTTGATAATCATTTTAACGAAATTCTAAAGAATCAATCAATTGAGTGATAACATTGAAATTCTGATTTTTATAGTTTCATTGGCTATTATCATGCATTGTAGTTAAAAATCAAATCAATTCATCAATTCTAATTAATTAAAAGTTCAAAATGTTTTACGTTAATGACCTTTGCGTGCGCTTTGGATGTCTTGTTTCTGCACTCCTTTTTATTAGTGCCAAAAGCATTGTCATATTACTTCTAAATATAGTGCGCTATTTTCAATTTTACTGGCGTATTTATTAGGATTAGGACCAATGAATTGCCTTGGTAATTCAATTTATAAACGTAATGGATCTTTTGTACAAAGCTTCCCCAGTTGGTTATGGTTAGGAATGCAGATTGCGTTGGAAATTCAAATTTTCATAACATTTCTAAACTTAACTGGATAATTACTAATTTGTTATTTTAAAAACGTGGCGGGGTGTTTTGCTCAAATCTCATATTTTTGCATTACTGGAGGTGGCTTCGTAGAAAAGATCCAACTTTATTTATCGTGTACAGTGGCGCCCGAATAGTAGTGAATCGGTAATGTTTGCCAAGTTAAATATTATATTAAGTGTGTACGTACGTGATCGTGTATAAACCATGGTACCAGACCATGTACCATGTGCACGTACAGGACCTCGAAGACGCGTGCGCCCAACAGAAATGTTTACATTTGTGGTCATTAGTTAGAGTAACATTATATCTCGGAGTCTCAAATTTAGTGCTTGAAAACCATTGACCTTAAGTTTTCAGTATTTTTTGTATCAATGCATATCATTGTCGAACATGAGTGTATTATCATGAGTGAGTGTATTGTAATCATGAATATTGGTCCAAAATGGTCAAAGATTGCAGAGCTGATTTCATTGATTCGGGTCGACTTTCTCACCAGCGTTAACTTCCAAACGGAAATAAGATTTTCACATTGAAGCTTGAACCGTTGAATGTTATTCAAACTGGAGATAAAACGTTTGTCTGCAACGTTGGTGACAGGTTCAACACAGGTTATGCTAATTTCTATCCAGAAAATCCACTCAGATACCCAACACCATTGAAAGAATATGTTTTGAAACATTTCAGAAAAAAATTGAAACTGTGTAACGATAAAGGATTTTGACTATTGCTGCGGTTTTGAAGAATATATTGAGAATTACATATATATCAAATTTTCGCAATCCTATCGGCTTTGGTGTTAGAAAATTATTGATATTCAAAAGCGCCACTCAAAGCGGGGAACATTAACTTTGGTGTTGGTAGTGAAAAATCTATGCTGGTACACCAGGAAAACATTGGGACTATATGACGAATTTTAGTTCAGAATAAATAAATGTTAAATTAATATTATTTTCGTTACCAATTACGGTGGCCATATACAGCTACTTTTTCGAGGATGCAACGGCTACAAGAATTGGGAATTTCTTTGATATTACTAAGACCAATTAATTGGTATCATATAACTAAGATGACTTGTTAGGTGTATACTTATCTTCAAGCCACAATTCTTTGTATGCTTGTGAACGTAAAATATTACAAATAATATTAACTCTTATGGCGACTATAGTTTGATTCTGATAATTTGATTTACGGACAAGTCAATGATAGGATATAAGTGTAACATTAAAAAGTGATAAATTTGTGACAAAGATTAATTCCCGCCAATACCATTGTGAAAAAACAATGGCTAATTCCACTCCTGGTATTGGTATACTGGTTCATTGTTTCTCATCCCATGGGTCGCGACCCAAAACAGTTTTTTTTTAGTAAATTTTATTGTTCATTTATTTTATACTAGTTAGTGAATTGCTGCTCAATAGCAAATAATTATATATGTGGTAAGTATTACAGTGTAAATATATAAAGTATTACGACGGACATAAAAGCACTGCATGCCGTTGAGTATTTGAGCATATAATTAGGTCGCAAGATTTTACATTTTTTTTATTTTATTATTATCTTGGTTGGGATCCTCTGTCGTAGGTTACACCACAATGATCCTTTCTATAACCGTGCGCACAGTTAGCTTCTGATTGCACTCTAGTATGGGGGATATCCAATTGGTATCAGTTTCGTCTGATATATTCTCACATTTTGTAATAAAATACTGGACGCAAATTTCCCAGAGGAATCACCTTCACCAGACAATCCACAAACTCCTCATGTCCACGTCGTGTCTTTCATTTTGGCATTTTCGATTTTAATTGTAATAGAATCTGTTTAAATAAAATCTATATTTTGCTAATTTAATGGACAAAAATATTCATAGTTAACGTTATTATACAGCGATGAACATGACGGATTCAACTACGATTTCAACAAAAGTACAATCGTCTGTTGGAGAATCTAAATCAATCATATTTATAAGATATTTATATATGTTTCTATTTCGCACGTCGTTTTATCAGAATAATCCGAAAGCAAAAATTTATTATACCGCTCATACCAAAATACGCTGTGATTCAGCATTCGTATCCTTGGAGCTTCAGACAAAATTCAAAATTTGAGAGAAATCAAGTATAATCTTCTAATATGTAATGTAGTTATATGGATTCTCGCTTACTTTGAAAATAATTGTCAAATTAATTTTATTTTCCCAACCAATGATGGCGGTCATATACAGCTATTTCTTCGAGCAGGTAACGGCCTCTTAGCCAAAATTTTGGTGAGATGATATCGAATTAGTACCAAAAAACTCGAAAAAATCAAAATTGCTTACGACTTGAATAGAAAATCTTATAAAATATCCTGCACATCTTGATACACTTAATATCACGCAATTTGAGTTGTTGGGACAAAATTTTGAATTTATGTATGATCCATTACCGATAATGCCATATTTCGTTAAAATCAACATAGACGAAAAAACATGAAATTTCGCACAATTTTCAAATTCCATTAGCATTTCTTATCGATTGAGGGGGGAGAAATTTTATTATTGATAAATATCTTATAAATATACACTCTGCATTACACATTTTAGTTGCTGGGAACAAAATTTTCCAATGTCCTATTTCGTCAAATTTGACATAGGTGAAAACAATGAAATTTCACAATTTTGAAGCTACAACAGCATGTATTTCTGATTGAGAGGCTATTCAAAAATGTAATAGTATATATGTGCTACAGCGTTAAATTTGGGTTGTTGGGAATAATAGGAAAGACATGATGTTGGAGTTTGATTTTTGTGAAATTTCATGTTTTAGGACATTTTCAGTAACGGATTACACATAAACACAATTTTGTTCCTAACAACTAAAATTGTATTATGCACAGTGTATACACTGCAGTACTTTCTAATAATAAAAGCTCGCTCTCCGTAATCAGAAAGACATGCTGCCGGGGTTTGAAAATTGTGAAATTTCTTGTAATATGTTTTTTATAGCGAGGTTTATGATGAAATAATTTTTGACATTGAATTAGACATGAATGCAAGATTTGTTCATGCAAGATGTACATTTTATGTATCTGATTTATTCCAACTAATAAAACCTTTTGTTGTTTGTGCGAAAACCGTGTTGATATTTTTTTGAATTTTGACATTTTAGATTTATAGTAAGGGAAATCCTGTGTTTCCCAGATAATAACACAGTGTTCTATTTCAATCTTTTTTTTGGGGGGGGGAGAGGGAGTCTTTATTTTTTATATATCCAAGAAAACAAAATTACAAAGTGGAGAATTGAGAAAATTCCAAAAATACGAAAATTGATATTCATTTACTTATAAATAACACGTTTTAATTCGAAATGGTAGATTGAACATAGAATATTGAAACGAGTAGAAAACATTTCACGATATCGACCAGGTCAAAAATGTTTTGCGTTAACGACTAGGTCTTATTTGAAAAAAAACTCAAATTACTCTCCGCTATCCTCAGGATTCAATTTGCAATATTGTACTTCTACAGACATTTTTTACTTTATTTGTGGTATGAAGACCAACGTTATTTGTGTTTTATATTTTAATTCTGAGTAAAGCATATTAAGGTCATATACAAAAGAGCATATGAAACGTAACAATGCACAAATCAAATAAATTTGAAGTATTATGCGACATAACGATATCTTTAGGAAAGTTGACAGTTTCAATGGGTAATAAAACATAAAAATTCTAAAGTGGGGTCTCGTTGATGATCGCATGCCTCAATACGTTGCATTTTTTCTCAAAGCTTGTTATTAATTCTACCGTGTTACCATATGTTACCATACCATGGTATAGGTAGCTTTCGTTTGGTATAGGTAATAGTAAACTGAGAGACATTAAATGAAAATTTGTGGTGGATTTTTATTAAACTAATATGGCGTTTCTAGACTAGCAAATTAATTTGAATGAAAAGTATTGTTCCTCATCAACAAAGACTTTTAAATCAAGACGAAAATGATATCTGTAATTCTCAGAAATCCATTGGTAATATTATTTCAGTTGATTTTTTTAATCTAAATTGCGCTTGGATGTGTTACTATGTACTCTTTTGCATGATTTGATTGAGTAATTTGAAATTTACGAACCAGACAATTATGACCATCATTTTTATTGTGCTTTTTCTTGATGTGGTGTTCTCGCTGGGATATTTTGAACTTGGTCTACCCACTTCGGACAAGTTGGGTCTGTGTGATGGGTTCTTGCTCAACAATTGATTTCAATGGCTCGAATCTAACACTAAATAACTTTTTTTCACAGCAGAAGATTTATAACCGAAGATGTATTCGTCTTGTACACCAAACGCAAGAAAAACTAAGTGAAGTTAAAGTGGGCATAAAAATGTAAAATTTGAGTAATTATTCACGGGTAATTTTTTTACTGATGAAATTCTGAAATTTGTTTCTCAATTTACCAGAGTTTACTAAACACGACGACAAAATGCTTTAATGATGTTTTTCAAATAGAAAGTTCCCAGATATTATTTTCCATCTATTGTTATTTGAATATAGGAAGCAAAAGATTCTTGTCCGGTTTCGTCTCACAATAAATGGGATCCGCTTGAAGAAGTGATTGTTGGGAGACCCGAAGGGGCCTGCGTGCCAAGATTTTCAATCGAGGTCAAGGTGCGAATAAGAAATTGAATAAAAATTATATTGTTGTTGTTGCAATTTTTTTATTTTCTCACCTAGAAAAGGCATATCAATCAATCTAAAACGGGCGTGTTTTGGAGGGCTTACTTTGGGAAAACGCTGAATCCTGTACATATTTTTAATTCTGCAGTAAGCCTTTGTAAAGTCATTATTTATCAAAATGAGGTTTGAACAAACATATGTGTAATGCCCCTTTCTTGGAGAAATGATGGTCGTAAGAAATTCACATTTAAAAATAGGGTAGTTTAGATTAGAATATGTTTTCTTTTGAAGTAGCATTGTTTTTTTGTCATTACTATAGGCAAATACAAACCACCGTCATTGGGAATGGTACGAGAAGAATGGCGGAAAATCTTTCCCACAAGAACATATCACACGAGCCATTGCACAGGTTGAAGAATTTTGTAACATTCTCCGACATGAAGGAGTCGTAGTCCGAAGACCAGATATTTTGGATTGGTCTAAAGAATATGAAACACCGGATTTTAAAACAAATGGCAAGTTTGTGTTAAAGCGATTTTAATTCTCAATTCATAATAATAAGTCATAAATAATTAAACATGAATTCGCATTAATAGCCAGAAACATGCTTTTATTGAAAGCCTTCATGCTGCATTTCAAATAATTGTCAAGAAATCATTGAACTTTTTTCCTGTCTCTCTGCGCGCCCTTGAATATAGACGGGGGATTTTCATAAAAGCAGGAAAAGCAAGATAGGTGAAGTACTTAATAAAGTGTGCGCCTCTTTTTTTCAATCGTGAAAAATATAGATGGTAAAACATTATAAGAGATATCAACATATCATTTTAAAACCTAAACGCGGGCATGCCAAAGGGAATTTTATAATAAAAAAATTCATTTAAATTAGGCGATGTACTCAAATTCATATAGCATGTTTGCGTATCCTTTGAGTCCTGCTCGAACAGAATGTTTATCCACCAATTTTGCAATCATAATAACGCGGTTCTGATTCCATAAGTCCAAATCGACTTTCATTTCTGAAATTTGTATTTTATATAAGATTAGACGCATTTTCATACTTGATTAGCTCTATATACGAATCGAACAATATATATAATTTTATACACAGGAGTTTACGCAGCAATGCCTCGAGATATACTAATTGTAGTTGGAAATGAAATTATCGAAGCTCCGATGGCATGGCGATCTAGATTTTTTGAGTATCGGGCATATCGTTCAATAGTCAAAGATTATTTCAGAAAAGGGGCGAAATGGACAACTGCGTCTAAACCCGAGATGAAAGATGAATTATACGACAAGGTGACTTAATTTATTTACTTGGTTCTAAGTACAGCAATATATACTTTACTCAAATTTGTTTAATTTTCATATTTCCCGTAACTAGACCAATATTTCAAAATGGACTACCGGTATATAATACTCCAGCAACGATCCCCAAATCTCCCTTTTCGTGAAGCAAATTTTCTATTTAAATATTTTATATGGTTTTCAGGAAATGGTAGAACTAAAGTGTACGAAGTATCTACTGTGAAGCGAAAGCTATACTTATATAAATTTATCATTAGTTGTGAGCGCAATACCGACAAATACAGTTACTTGATTTAATGATATCAGTCTAATATGAGATTATATCAAGTTTTCTTTTCAATTTAATCTAATTTCAATTAAAATTCTTTTCAGAGTTACCCAATTAATAACGTTGAAGATCGAAATGCACTGGCAAAACAAGGAAAATTTGTAACTACAGAATTTGAACCTTGTTTTGATGCCGCTGATTTTTTTCGAGCAGGGAGGGATATATTTGTTCAAAGAAGTCAAGTATGCACATATATTATTATTGGCGGGTCGTAAATTATTTCATTTATTAAAAGTAAGTTAGCTAATGCTGAAATCAAATATGAATCTGATAGAAAAGTTGCAAACAAATACTGACACACTGATAGATAGTTACGTGTAAATACTTAGGTGGTATGCAAAAAGATGTTACATGTATGGCTATAGCCGAGCAGTGGAGGTACATTTTAGTCACACTCATTTGTACCCGTACGTTTATAACCATAAATTGCCTCAGTCCTAATGTCAGTGCTGCATTTAAATACAGCTTAAAACTACGCCAATACCAATCAAGGTTTATCATAAGACTTGAAAAAAAGATACATTTTCATTGATAAAGACAATGAATAAATACTCATGACCCTCACAGTAGAATAAGTATACATTTTGACCAATAACGGTTCGCGATCCCTGATCTGTTTATACCGGAATCGAAGATTTATAACGTTACGGATGTCACGCGATGCAGTGAAAAGCTCGGCGAAGATCAATAAGATTCGGGGTTTTGCGTTTGGTTACAGATTTCGTTTGAAAACGCACTTTATCATGTTGCTTTGAGTTCGCATGCGAAATTGCGGAGATTAGCCCAATGAAATGTTACCCCCACTTTACGTGATAACTGGTCGTAATAACAATCCATATCGACCCCAAAAGTAGCTGTGCAAAAAAACAAAATAGGACGATATGAAAAAATCACAGTCGGATTTCAGCAAAAAAAAATTTTTTATTTCGAAGCGAAAAAATGACCATATATATAGCTTATAATAGCTGGTACAAATAGAGTATCATTCCAGCCTAATATTACTGTGCAGGGGGCCATTGAAACATTTATCTGGCCCTGTCAGACATTTGGTACTGGCTTGGTCATGAAATACCTCTTGAGATTGCCATCACAGGTCAGAAATCATCGAACGTCATGTATATATATTGTGGACAATATTAGACGGAGTTGCTCACGGGTCCAATTTTTTTACATCCCAAATCCGAGTTTCTCAATATGAATTTTAACTCATAGGTCGGTTTAAATTTTTAGAAACTTTAACAAATTAGGTTTGCGGACGCATATACCTTGGTACCGCATATACCTGACTTCCTCCGCTGAGCACTAGGTTTGTTGACAAAATCAGCCGGCATACCTGCCAAGAGTGGCGTAATGAAAGTGTATATTTTAAAGTTTTATTTTTGTTTGATCATTATTCAAATCGGATGGGAATTGAATGGATGCGTCGACACTTGGGAAGAGAATATAAAATTCATGAAATATCTTTCAATGATCCAAACCCCATGCACATAGATGCAACGTTTAATATAATTGGACCTGGGTTGGTGATCTCTAATCCAGAGAGACCTTGTCACCAGGTAAGAGAATTCAAACGCAATATCACAATAAAATAAATAAATATTAATGGTATTCTCACATGTGAAGTAAACCTTCAGGCCAAATATTTTGAATTGCAGTAAAATAAGTTTGGTTAGTTAGATGAAATCGGAATCATTGGAAAATGCACTTCAGCATGATACGATCCCTCGTTTTAAAAAGATTAATATAGATTATGTAGTTGAAGATATCGTAATTACTAGATAATGTGATACAGCAAAAACTTCAAAATTGATTAAAAGCTTATTAGGCACGGGGTGGTGCATTTTAAAAATCATTGAAGTTTGACATGAACGACGAATATCTAGCAAAATACAATACCAAAATCATGGCCTTCTAAAAACTTGTTATTTTCAAATTGTTTAAATTCGAAAGTGATAGGGTATTGGTATTCAAATATATTATCTCAACAATAAAAACAGATTCGTTCTGCGTCCAGTATAGTAATTGAAGTTTTGCCGCAAATGGCACTTGTGAAAAATAAAGAAAAGATTTTTCTAATTGACGGAAGTGATATGCTCGACTATTGGTCGTTATATATTTTGAAACGTTTTTGATTTATTCTTAGATTGATTTATTCAAAAAAGCTGGATGGAAAATTGTTACCGCAGCAAATCCGGTTATCCCAGATTGTGAGTAAATTGTTTATATTCCTGCACCTATCAGTGACTGAATTATGGTCTCCTACTCACCCTCTTGCTAAGTAACAATTGTTGTTATACATGTAACGCAATATAATATTTACAATCATTGAAAACAAAATTTAAAACGCGTATACGGAGCACAATATAATGGAAAAATACAGATACCTAATCAACTACTTCATGTTTCAGCTCACCCACTATGGATGTCGTCAAAATGGCTTAGCATGGATGTTCTCATGTTGGACGAAAAGCGTGTTATATATATGTGATGCTAATGAGATTCCTACCATTAATATGTTTGAGAAGCTAGGTAAGATCTTACACGTCCTATTATAGATAATTGTTGGTACGCGGTGCAAATATATATATTATGTTAACACGTTTCTTACATGCCCTGAATATTTTCTTATTTACCTTTCAGAAACGCATTGCAAGTATATTTATAATATGAGCCAATATGACGTTTGCTTTCACTAACGTTTCAATTTTAATAAGTGATAATTTTGTATACGTTGTTGTTCTGTATAGACATCACAAAAACAAATTGAATAGCATAAGACTATGTTTGTTTTATTTAAGTGGTTATGTTGTGATGAAATGGATTTGTGTTGCTGAATTAATTTCAATCAGAATAGAATTGGAGTCGGAGGAAAATATGATTTGCAATTGTCCAATTTCGTTTAGGTTGAATTATGATTCAGATAATTTATTTTCGTCCTGCATGAAACATTGTAAACATAAATAATAACAAATCGAGTCACACCAGAGAAAACAGACACATAATGTTTCGGATGCAATTGACTAAGAGCCAAGAAAAACTATCAAGTCAGTGTGTCAATGACGCCATATTTGCTAGGTTCAGCAGCAGATGACGTCAAGATAATGAAATTGATGAAAGTATGCGGCTGCAAAGACGAGATAACTGAAGGGGAATTTCCAACAACCACAATATGAAAAGCCGGTTTGAATTAAGTACCGGTAGAGCGATATATAATTTACATTTTCGTCTAGAGAATTAGCTATGTCAAAGATCTAGTGGAAAAAGTCACTCCAAAGACACTCGAGCAATAATGCATACATGATGCTAATGCACATTAGTAAAAAAATTGTAAATCAATTCCAGCTAGATTTCTTTTTAGTCTCCGTAAAAGATATAAAGTGATATAAAATTGATCGCACAAAATAACGAGATATAAAACACTGCAATGAAGAAGAGAGTATTGGATCTCAATCCTTTCATCCTAGAAGACCGGTAAAATGGAATAAAATGAACTCACGGACCGGCAAAATTTTAAATGAGTTAAACATAATAAGGTATTATTGCGTAATATAAGGTCGGTTGTAGGTAATAAACGGTGCTATCACCTAACTATGATGTGGAGTGATATCGTGTAATCCAATGTGCGAGTAACACCAGAAATACTTGAAGAGCCCGATCCCAAATAGTTCATCCAACATTTGTTGCTTTGACTTTATTGCATTATCGCAGTAGTAATGAACATCGATGAGTCAGTTTATTCCAGTAATTACACACAATTTAATCTAATTTATGAAATCACTCCAAATATTGACTAAATAAATAAAACAAACATGAAAAATACGACTTACAAATTGACAAATTCCGGAGCTTAAGAAACAGAGGCGCGCTCACTAAAAACTCAGAAAGAAGAGAGCGGCGTGCGGGAGAATTTACATATGCCAGATTATTGGTAAGAATATAAAGCCAAGTTGGCTCAATAGAATACATATTGAGACTCCTCATGTATTAACCATGGGAATAATACATGAAATTAATCATTAGTGTCAAATTTTGGATAATTATCACTCCATTTAGCTGAATACGAATGTACTACGCTTATAAGATTGAATGATTATCGCGGAACTGGCATGGTTGCAAAAAATAGATATTGCGAAACACTTTTCTGGAACACAACCTAGTGCCCATAATTAAAATGAGGAAACATTTCTTACATCGGTTTTCACTATATTTCTACATTCACTCTGTTTCTAGGTAAAACACACATTTTACATGTCATATCACGTACAAATACAATTAGTGAGTATATTGCTGCTGTATTCTTTCCAATATAAGAGGAAAACGATGCATCAAAAAAGTTTCTGCAACACGTAGCTCTGCAGCGGCGTCCATTCGATTTTTTTTCTTTGTTTAGAGTTTTTTCTCCTACGTTAGTGGCTAAATTTACGTACAACAGTTTGATTGCTCGATTACGTAGCGACTCGTATTCATTTTCAAAATATATCCAGAAATGAGACAGTGATTGTTTTTTTATAAGCACTTCGCAATGAATGCATTTCGTGCAGAAGTAATATTCACACTTTACATAAATATAAGTTAGTACATTTATCATCAAATCTACAACACAAATATGATTTCAAAATTATGCACCGCATGATTCATTAAAATAATTTGAGTGCCAATTTTGAAAATGTTTAAAGAATTTATTTCTGATTCCTCAGATGACGTACAATATGGCCAATATCCAAACCACTGTGTCCTCAAACTTTCAAACTCAAATAGTTCGAAGCAAATATATCACGACGGCAATCATTTACGAAGTTGTCAATTTTTTCATCAGATAGTTCTCATCCCTTCGATTACGATGTATAGTTGGCGTGAATTGTTTAAATATATTGAATCCATAGAATCTGTGAAATATTTGTCAAAATTTGGTTTGAAGTCCAATCTACCACATCGGCTGGAATTAAGAAATCTTCAATATAACTTTACTTATTGTAAATATATTACAAATGACACTCATTATGAATACCAAAGCAGATCAAAATCAGATACCTTTTGTTATTCTCAGCTTGCTGGATTGTATCTGGCATTTTCACTCCCAGTGTTTCCGGAATGCAAATGATACCAATAATTCCACTCAAAATAGTTATCGTACCCATTATCCAATAAGGTACGGAGTATTCAATTTTACCTGTTAAAATCAAATTGCGTGTTCGGTTACTTACAGTGCTTAAAAAGTAGGGTTACCATATTTTTTTGACTTCAAAGTTGGACGCCTTTTACTACATAGGCCTACATTTAAAGCCATCCCTGCTGTCTTCATTTACCATATTGTCATCGAGAGTTCATGCGCATATTCTTTGTCTAAATATCGGGTTCAGTTCGAAAAATAGAAAGAAATAGACGCTAACGATACACATGATCCGAATTTAGATTTTTTTATGTCCAACAAAAGAAATAAAGAATAATGAAATAGTCTGTCGTTTTCAAGCATTGAGATTTACCTATTCGCCTAAGCATGCTTTTCTGTAGATACCACCTTCAAAAAGACGTTGTTCAATGTTACATTCACGTGAACGTCCGAACAGGGCCAATTAGAATTGATTTTACATGGGAAACGTTAGCTAACAATGTTAGCGGGAAACAACGAAACAAACAAAATAACGCATTCACCTTCAGTAAATAAGCTAGCGTTGCGCTACGCTACCCTACGTCCAAACGTCGGACAGACAAAAATATTATAAGAAAATATCATGTTAATTCAGAACTACAAAAACTATATACTGTATAATGAAAATCTGAACCAAGTCGAATTTCGGAAAACATCATCATACACTTACGATCTTGCTGTACTTACTCAGAAACATCACAAATGGCGCGATGAACGCCCCAACACGACTACAGAAAGATGCTATGCTCATTGAAGCACTTCTTTGAGGAGTGGGAGCTACTTCGGACGTGCTCAAGAAGATGATATAAAATACTGCACTTACGGCACCTTTCCCGATTATTGAGATTATTGTTCTGAGCGTGGATAGTTCTAAATTTGACAAATATTGTAATAATAAATTCCGTAAAGACTTTCTTTTAGATACTTCAATATGCTAACTGAAGCAAACAGTTTTCAATCGAGATAAACTGAACGTCTTGAACTATACACATTTATGTGTTGCGTGACGAAATGCTCATTGAGGACCAATATAACTGACAATAATCTTTGTCATGCCACGTGCTTCGCAACAACCAAAACTTAGATACGATCATCATCATTCATCATTAAATCGAAACATTGCATAGTTGATTTTATACGCAGGTTTAATTACATATATTTCATATTTGGGAATATAAAGTTGGAAATCGTTTTGTTTTTGCGCAAGATTCGTTGCAAATTGATTATTTTCCAAACAAGAACGCAGCCCGCCGTGTGAATGCTGCCAACAGTGGAACGTTTAAACAGCTAACTAGGTAAAAGTATTTATTCGTAAAAATATGGCAAAAATCTAACCTTCAGGTAAATATGGTAAAATAATGGTGAAAACTCCACAAGTTAGCAGAAAAAAAGTAGTGGATCTAGGGCGACCGATCATGTTAACAGCATAATAACCACAAAGATATGCGGGAAAGTCAGCAAATGCGCAATACAATATATTCAGGTAGCGATCATCACTGAAGCTTTTCGAGTGAAACGCTATTGCATAGTAAACGTGACCTGTCACGAACCTTGAGAAAAAATAAAGCAAATTAATATTATGTAGTATTAAATAGATTGAAATTCGATTGCAATGGCGAAACCTTCAATATCTCAAACCTGATATTCATTTACAAGACCTTTCTATCAGTGAATTAAAAGTGATGTGGTGACATCAATGACGTTTCTGCAAAAATCCTGTTTTTAATTTCTGCTTGGACTTCCATCTTCGGACGCAATGACAATACGGTAGGTAGTGATTGGAATATACTTTTACCGCAGTTATCAATTTCAAATATTGCTCGGCGTAAAATTATTCAAATTTTATTCATCAATTTATATATACAAAATATTTTACTTACCATGCAAAAAAAGCTGACAGGAATCTGTAGGTTAATGTAGATTTGAAAATTATGCGAAGCGTCTCTATTAGCCCTGAGGGTGATGCCGTTATTTCACGAGAACCAGCTGTATGTGTCTTAATTAAAGTACAAAGTTTTGTGGAAACGAGCTTCTGAGGCGTTAATAGATTAGTAATAAGAAAATAATAAACTGCAGTACTTTTCTCAATCTTTCGAAATTGACCTTCTTTCGGTTCATTTTTGCCATTTTGTTCAATCCTGCGATCGCAGCATTTGTTCTACCAACTGTAGATAGCCAACGTGGTGATTCGGGAAACAACCTGCAAGATATTATGGAAATATGCAAAAAAGGAAAAGTATTGTGATGATTTTAGAGTTAATCTGAGGTCATGTTGTAAATCGCTACTTTTATAAGAATTGTTTTTTTTAGTAATGTTTAAGTTATTGTGTAAAGAAAACTAAATTTGACGATTTTAATGCTGGGGTTTTGTTTTAAATTTGAAACTGGATTAAGAAGCAAGAATGAAAAATAGGCATGGTACCAATGTACGGTTTTATGATAACTAAGATGCAAGAAAGATGAAACATTCTCCCGACATCATATTGCTTGAAAAAAGTGATATTAAAAAATATGGGAAATGAGGATTAACAGTCAATAGTGAAATTAACGTTTCCTTCCAAACAACCATACATTCACAAGAGTTTAAGTACAAGAAGAGCTGAATGTTAAAATAAAAACAAAAGCAATAGACATAGTTAGCGTAGGAAGAGTGATAAATTGCCAAGTGTTACATAATACAGACATACATACCAGTAGCCCGGTAGATATAGAAAGACACTGAGTACCATGGATACCCAATTGTAGGTACGCCAGTTTTGCGCATAATATCCAATCAAGGGAACAATAGCATATCCAATGGAAAATGAATACATTGAACTAACGGCCATAAAATTTCTTGACTCAATCGAAATTACTTCGGTCACTATAAATAAAATATTGTGAAATTTAATACAAAAATACAAACACACTGATGCACGTTTAGAAATGAATCTTACCTAGTACGAAAGCAACAACGAAATTGATGAGTCCTGTCATCCCAACAAAATAAACAGCAACCAAATATGAATAGAAATCCCAAGAAGCAGCCGTAATACCCATGGATATTATCTGAGCCAAAGAGGCAAACAAGTAAACCGGCCGTCTACCATACCTTTGAAATTTGGCAATATTTTAATGACCGATTACACGTTATTATTTACATCACATAGTCTATTAAAGGAAATCATAGCAGTTCTTTTAATCAGGGGTGCGCAACCTTTTTTTACAGGCGGGCCAAATACAAATAACTGGGTGAAGCCGCGGGCCGCACCTGTAAACTCTACCTACGAAAGTCTTTGAATACGAAAAATTTGTAGTTTTCATTAGGTATTTTGATGTTCTTTTTTCTTACCATGTGTACCCTAAGAAAATTTCTACCTCCGAATGAGTTTCCGTAATTGGAACGAAATTAATTTGTTTCAAGCCCCTTCGTAAGTAGAAAATTACGTAATTATGGGCGCTCTTTACCTGAAAATGCATCAATCCGTTCCAAGCCCCCACAAAACTCGGACATAAATATGACTGGGCTAAGCAAAGACCGTGGGGAGTCGGAGACGGTGAGAGCAAGCGATAAAAGTCAAAATCTAAGAGAGAACGTAATGCACAAAAATGAGCATACGAACATGAAATTCAAAATTAGAATTTACTCTTTTTATTTTGCAGTTTTATTTATTTTTTTCTCTAGTTTTAACTGTTATGCTCATCATCGTATTCGCAACTGAAACTGAGTGAGACTTATTGTACGTACCCGCGGGAAACAAACATGCCAATGGGATGGCAGATAGTTGATTGGCGTGTGGCAGGGCAGATACCACAGACTTATTATATTGCTTACAACACCATTCGTTGATTCAGAAAACGCAAATGTAATTACGCGATCATCGTCATTATCAAATGAGTGAACCTAATTCCCAAATTCCCATCTGCCGATAAAAGAGAATTAAGATCGGAAATCTTCTTTTATTTTGCGAGTCGGCGCTGATTTAAATATTTCATGTCGGCCGTTATGATTTTATTTTTGATTAAAAGTTAATACCATCAACTTAAACTGAACGATATTGTCATCAACGACGCCGCGATAGAAACTAAATAATATTTAGGAGCTAATTTATACGCTTTAAATTGCAAGAAATGATAAAATTTGCCCTCACGTTCGATCACTATCGAAATGAAAAGATGAAAACAATTAATTACAACACAATTTGCGCACAAACTATCTCAACAAAATTGAAATATACGATAATACTTGTAAAATATTTTCATTCAAAAACATTCTCGACGTGCAATAAGCACTTCAAGTCAGTGCTGCCTCCGGTTGCGATAAAAAATGGAATATATAATTGTAAAATGTTTTAAATCCAAGCGTTGACGGCGGCGCTGGGATATGTGCGCCATATTCGGTATTCTTACAAACACGAAAAACGATAATCGAAGTTTGCGATATTCGAATAATAAATTCGAATTGGACATCCGTGCTTTAAGAACTGCATTAAATTAACCTAAAATAAACAAATGTCATTACACGCGTTTTCGACCTTTCGTATGTAAAAAAATCTTACGTTAGCCAAGGTCATATTTTTACGAATAGAATTCTCGTAAGTTAAATTTTTTGTAGGTAGAGTTTCTACTGTAGACGCAAGCTTTTGTAACATTGTGTATTTTCAGACTGGATCTTTCTAGCTATTCTCACTGATATGACATGCAGTGACACTCAGGTATACTGGTATAGGCTTCGCGGCGCAAGGAGATTGACATTGCTCGCTAGTTTCCAAATTAATTAATCTAGAAGCTTGTTTCGCGGGCACATCATTCAAAATTTACACCTCTCCGCGAGCCGCACAATTTTTCTTTGCGGGCCGAATTTGGCCCGCGGGCCGCAGTTTGCACACCCCTGCTTTAAATGAAGTTATTCCTCGAGTGGTTAATATTTTCGATATATTGCTCATTGGCGAATCAGAAAATGTACGAATATACCTGTCAGCAAGTATGCCAACTATTGATCCACTTGCCACTCCCGATTGAAAAACTGTAATTGCTAAAGGTGCTTTCCAATCATTGTTGCAAACCATTTCAAACTGGAAATTAGATTATAGAAATTTAAATTTTAGTTGAGTATATAAAAAGTACAATTTAAAATAAATATCACATACCTCAGTAACTGAAGTATCATGATTCGGCAACATATCAAATATATATCCATTTGTACATGGTATGATGTCAACAGATTCATTGAGGTTTATAAGAGAGAGTGCTGTAGAATAATTTCTGTGATACATGTGGCAATTACTTTTACTTATCTTTCCATAATTATCGGGTTCCATGGGTATAAAAAAGTCGAGCAGATTTTCATTACTGTTTGAGTTCTGAGAAAAAGATTCAATTAGTTATCAAAGTTGCTTGTGTGTGAATAAACGAAAATACCAAGTCAAACTGGTATGCAATTTGTAACATTTCGGTATTTTTTGAATATAAATTCTGCCGGAACGTAAGTTTAGTCCTAGCCTAGGACAAATGAAATGCGTTGCTTAATAACAAGATTTGCTAATGGTTGTATGTCACATGTCGGAACTTACGTTTTTCAATATGTTTTCAATTTCATCAGATAATCTACATCGATGGCTTGGTTGGAAATGAATGATGGCAAACTGCAACCCCGTAAAAGCATTTGGCAAAGAAGCGGCAGACACAACGATAAAAATCACTGTTTGGTAACATCCCCACTTCCCCAGTTGATGGAATGCTTCGTCGATATTCATTTTCTTATGTCATAAATTGTATACTAAAGTCAACTATAGCTATTGTAATGAAAAAGATTTATCTAGAAATATCAGAATGTACATATGATAATGATTGTTTAAATTTAAATATTCACTCTCTTAAAAAAATACACATACTATATACATTTTAGATGCAGGTAATATACAGTTCTAGTGCATCGACGCTCAGGAAGTAAATTCTCCAGAAACTCATTGAAATGAAAACAAATAACAAATTTTCAAATATGGACTCACATTCTGTATCCGACACACGACTGTGTTATGGAAGCATTTGATGTTCACGGGAAAGGTGATGGATCAGAAGAAAGTAAGCAAACTATGGTACAACACAAAGCTCCTCGGTGAGCTCAAAGTTATATTCATACTAATATGTATATAAGATGCATTTCCACTTTGTTCTAGTGTTTCAGGGCAAAGACGTTTTTTGTCTCAGTAATACCGAAATCAGCATCTTTAAACGCAACGAATTAGCTCAGTCCAACGAATAATTTATATGTTTCAAATAATACTGTAAAACTATGTATGGAGTGAACGTTTTTAGTCAAATTTAAATCTTTATTTTTCATTCAATTTCTATCATTTATTTGTTATACTACCGCAACAATAAATTGCTGACTTCACACCACAAATTACTTTAACTATGTATGTTCTTCTACAATGTTAAACACGCATACTGTCAGTAGAATAAAACTTGGTTTAGCTTAAGCTCATGTATCTGCAGAGCGTTCACAAGTGACCTCCTGCTTTACCCAGACATCTAATTATTTTATGGAACATTTCTTTAAAATAGGCTTCTCCCGATTCACCGAAATGTTTTAACTTCGTTGAGCTTGAATCTTTACAAAACTCTCAATCGAGGGTACGGAACAGTGGGTACGGAATGGCAAAATAATGGTTGATTAGCTACTCGCAAAGTTCAAATATACAATGAACCATGAGAAAAAAGTTAAAAATATTCAAATTGTGCGGTATACATTATAAGCATATATTGACTTGGATATTTAATTAAGTTTTTGAAAAATATAATATATCAACTGCATTTTCAAAAGTGCAGAGTCGAAAATATGCGATAGCTTACAGAAGCAGAAGGTTTTTGTCGTAAACTTTAGTTAGCATGGAGTTAGTAATGAAATATTATTCAACACGTGATCGAAGCATGTTCAAGTTTCTTAAACTGCCAGTATATATTGATTAGAGGATTTTAGTTTATATCTAACCTGTGGGAAATTATTGGTAAATCTCTGCCAAAAGCGATAAGGGTTACTATAATTTGCTAAAAGATTCATAGTATGTTTTACATGATGAAAGATTTATTAACATCTCGTATTGCAATAAATACTAAAATACTACAAAATACCAATCAAATGAGCACATTATGTTACAGTATGTTTAACAATTCTAATAAATTAAAATAAATTGTTTTACGTTAATGACCTTTGCGTGCGCTTTGGATGTCTTGTTACTGCACTCCTTTTTATTAGTGCCAAAAGCATTGTCATATTAACTTCTAAATATAGTGCGATATTTTCAATTTTACTGGCGTATTTATTAGGATTAGGACCAATGAATTGCCTTGGTAATTCATTTTAAACATAATGGATCTTTTGTACAAAGCTTCCCCAGTTGGTCAGGGTTAGGAATGCAGATTGCGTTGGAAATTCAAATTTTTATAACATTTCTAAACCCAACTGGATAATTACTAATTTGTTATTTTAAAAACGTGGCGGGGGTGTTTTGCTCAAATCTCATATTTTTGCATTAGTGGAGGTGGCTACGTAGAAAAGATCCGACTTTATTTATTGTGTACAGTGTCGCCGGAATAGTAGTGAATCGGTAATGTTTGCCAAGTTAATCATTATGTTAAGTGTGTACGTACGTGGTCGTGTATAAACCATGGTACCAGACCATGTACCATGTGCACGTACAGGACCTCGAAGACGCGTGCGCCCAACAGAAATGTTTACATTTGTGGTCATAGTTGGAGTAACATTATATCTCGGAGTCTCAAATTTAGTGCTTGAAAACCATTGACCTTAAGTTTTCAGTATTTTTTGTACATCAATGCATATCAATGTCGAACATGAGTGTATTATCATGAGTGAGTGTATTGTGATCATGAATATTGGTCCAAAATGGTCAATGATTGCAGAGCTGTTTTCATTGATTCGGGTCGACTTTCTCACCATGGGATAAGCAGTTTCCTCACCTCATAAAATGCGTCTACAACCTTTCTATTGGTGTCCAAAAGATCGTAATTCAAGTCAGTCATGACAATAATATTATTGGATTTGAATAGAAATCATGCAAATACGAAATATAAAAAAGTGAATAGATTGGATCTGTATACACATATGGACTAAAAGTTTTCATACTTGAAAAAGTGATGTGATTGGAATTATTCACAAACTTAACAATTCCTTCCCCGTGTGATTATCCTTGCTTTGGCCGCTGTTTGTATTTGACTAGAATTTTTGAAATATATTGAATCTATAGTATCTGCAAAATATTTATTAAAAAATAATTAAAAACGCCGCACTGGCTGAATAAAAAATATTTACCATTTGTGCTTGTTAAATTGTATCTGGCATTTTCACTCAGGTTGTTTCCGGAATGCAAATGATACCAGTGATTCCGTTCAGAATTGGTATTCCACCCAATATCCATATCCACTGCAGTTAGGTATGGAATATTGAATTTTACCTGTATTAATTCGATAATGATATGTATCTTTTTATTATTCTTTATATTACACATTGATTAAAAGGTTTTTCAATATTTATATAACCATGCTCTCTCGTTGTTAACTCCAAACTCATGACTAGAAAGGTACACGCTGATGGTGTTACAATATACTCACGTAATGAAAAACATAATCATGTTATATTTTGGTATTTTCCCCATCAAATAGCCATTTTAGCCGACCCGCTGTATCTGTGATGGTGTAAAGTCGATCTAAACGTCCGTTGTGTATCGGGACGTGTGCTATAAATGAACGCGAGTAAGTACACTAGGCTTCTACCATACTTACAGATCATGCAATATGATTTAGAAGTGTTAAAACAAAAGTTTAATAAACGTACACCAGTAACACTGTAAATGTTGCAATACAATGTAAACAAACGTCTATTAAACTTTGTCAAACAGACATTTGTTTCTTGTGATAATTCAGTCCATTCTCTCCAGATATTTATTCTATTGTCTTTGTAGTTACCCCATATTCAATCATCTCCACACAATTCCCACATAAGAAGTTTTGAATACAAAAAGGGTTCGAATACCAAGATAATCACAAGACTAACGCCACCGGGCTCAATAGATCTTCTTTTATTAGGCATGGGCCGTTGTCAATAATTCAATGCTACTGATGTAGTGCACATATAGAGAGTACGTTGAAGATGGATGGTTCCTGTGGATTGCAATACCTTTTACCAACTGAACGCTAACAAGACGTGCTCAATATAATGTACTAGACAAGATCACATATTAGGAATCTTATATTTTTTCATTTCTCAGACTACGCAATCTCGACAAAATTAACTCCATCAAAAGCGGTAGAATCAAAAGTTAAAACGCATTATGCCTAATCTTAGAAGTGTCCAGTATATTCCCCAGCTTTTCATTTTAGGGGGGGGGGGGGAGGGTGAAATTTAGGGGGTGGTAAATATTTAAAAAATTTATGTATGCATGGTATTTGACAAACGATGTACACCAGGCGTGGCCAGCCTGCTTTCGACCGCGATCGACTAAAATAGATCGTGATCGACTGATCGTTAATAAAGTCCTACACCCAAACGAATGGGCACTTAATGCACACACGCATAAAAAAATTTCACCGCTGCCAATAAGAAGGCTTCGTGGGCAGATTATTATTAAAATCGACACAAAATTTGCATTTTTATGTTCCACCTAAATTGTTGATTTGATTATTTAATTGTACCCGGAGTAAATTTCATTATTTGTTTAAGATTTATCCAAAGCATACAACTCAGATATAAGACGTACCTAATTTTTAGTCGTAAGTGTGGAAAATTCTTCAAGAAACCTTCCATGTATTATTCAAACAGCGAAAAATAAATATTATTCTCAAACCATGAATGTTACATAACTGCTCAAACTTCAGTATTTAATTTACAATTACCTCCAAACGCGATTCTTCGCTTGCTTAAAGAAAGAACAAATTGGGCATTTTGATGCCACTGCTACCAATGCGAATAAAATTTATCACACTACTCTTGCATACTGCGGAAGTTATTGTATAGGATCGTTTGTCAGTCTACTCTAGTCTAGACACGCGATATTCATGTGACACGCACTTCCTTTTTAAACCTGGCTGCGGAAAAACTTGCATTTGTCCCGTAATAATATGCTTTACGGGCTTGTCTAGACTTAAATACTGCATGTGTACGTATGCTATCGATTTGGTTTCTACAAAACCAACTACTTTTTCGTTTTTTATGCTTTTGCGTCGGTGGATCCGTATGCATGCAAGGATGCTGTAGCGAGAGTGAAGATAACTATCCTGAGAAATTCAATAAATAGTCTTGCTGCACATTAACACAAATATATTTCTGTAACGTTTCGTCTGACCAAGGTTAGACTTCCTCAGACATACATATTCAACTAAAGCAGGAATAGCAATTGCAAGCACATTTATACAATGGGTGCCATGACAAAAAAAAAAATATCATAACAATGTGAGTTAACGAATCCATGCAAGTGGTGATTGTACAATTAATTAACAGCACTAAGTTTAAAAATTGAAAACATGAAAATTTCATGCACATTTATATAATGGGTGTCATGGCAACATAATTAAATCACAACAATGGAATTTAATTTATCAAAAAAATTGGTGATTGTATATATATTTAATTTACTGCACTAAATTTAAAAATTGAATACATGAAAAAACAGTGTATAAAATGTTCCAAAATGCTCTAAACTTCTTTAATGTTCATTTCCAACGGTCCATGCGTTCCAAAGTAGGTGAATGGAATAAGATTCTTTAGTTTTTCGGTAAAT